TGTGTGTGTGTGTGTGTGTGTGTGTGTGTGTGTGTGTGAACCTTTACACTGTGCTCAAACAACACCCGCACAAACACCTGTGATTACAGCAAGTCATATCTATTAAAGAAAGATAATCCTGTATCTATTTATTCTTATGTTTTAATAAATGATGACGACAGATGAGTATTTATTCTGTGTTTTTATTGTGTTTTAGGTATGGTGCCTCTTCCTGAGACAGCGATGGATTTCTCAGACCTTCGCTCACAGTCGTCTCGCATGAATGAGCGGGTGAGTTAAATCCTTCCAACGTTATAATTACAAAGTTTACGGCATCCTTTCAGGAAGTGTTGCAAAATAACTTCATATAGTTGAGAAAAATCATGTTCTTTGTGTATCTCTGTCAGCACAGAACTACATGTCATGAGTTGAACCGGGAGCTAACGGCTAATAATAGACAGCTTCTCTCTGATTATATATTTCTGTAAATCCTAGCAGCTGTGTCTGGCTTGTCATTATGAGCTTGAAGACAGACGTCTGGACAGCGCTTCATAAAAACAGGACATTTTGGAAAGTGTTTTTGTATACTATGTTTCAAGGAAATAAATGTTACCCCTAGCTGTGTTTTGCAAAGGTGAAGCTGAAATTATTTGTGGTGTACCATCCATCAGATGTCAGGTATTTTACCCATAATGCCTCTGTTTTCAGGGCTGTGAAGGATGGACGGTGTGCAACCGCTGTGAAACATACAGACCTCCCAGAGCGCATCACTGCAAAGTGTGCCAGCGGTGTATACGACGCATGGACCACCACTGTCCCTGGTGAGGACACACACACACACACACACACACACACACACACCATGTATACATCACTTCAGGGGACATTACATTGACTTACAAGCATTTCCTGGAGACTTATCCTAACCTTAACCATAACCAACACATGCCTAACCCTAACCAAGTCTTCACCCTAAAATTAATGATTCCCCTTATGGGGACCTCCATTTTGTCCCCATAAGGGAGGCGAGTCCCCACACGTGACTGTGTAAACAGATTTAGGTCCCCACAAGTATAGTAATGCTAGGCCACACACACACACACACACACACACACACACACACACACACACACACACACGGCTGAAACTGCTGTATCCAATAAAGTTTAGTCGTGGCAGTTTGAGTGACAGGCCATTGGGCAGAGAGTTGGATTTACCATTAGAAAAGAAAATGTCAAGCAGTTTGTCGTTATTGGCCAGGGAGAACGTCTGGACACACACACACACACACACACACACACACACACACACACACACACACACACACACACACACACACACACACTGTCTCTTACCCCTATTTTTTATTTGTTTGTTCTAGGATCAACAACTGTGTGGGGGAGTTGAACCAGAAGTATTTCATCCAGTTTCTCTTCTACACCGGTGAGTACACACAGCACGCTACATCATGTACAATTCATTTAAAATAGTAGTGCTGCCCCTGGAAAAGATTTTAGGAAAAAAGCTCCCGAAAATCGGCGCAAAGAAATCTGACAATATGTGAAAAATCGCACAAAAATGTCATAAAAAATAAAAGTTAAATTTTGCAAAAAATGTCGGACAATTGTGTGAAAAATGTTGGACTGTATGTGAGAAATGTCTTTGTGATGTCTTTGTGTTATATGTGTAAAAGTCCAACAAAACAAACCATTCATAAAATCCAATATGAAACACTGACGAGGAACACTTTACTGCAACATCACTGCTTACACTTCACACACTGTATCTTAGTATTCTTCAGTGTGCTATTAGTACTTGTTACTGCTTATCTTCTCAGGGATGGCCAGTCTGTACTCTCTGGTTCTGGTGGTGTCGGCCTGGCTTTGGAGGATCCACAGCGAGAGGGAAGGAGCCGAGAAAGAAGGAGAGGAGACGCCCAGCAAACACCTCATAGTGTGAGTCCTCTGCACAGGGAACGGCATTCTTTTCAAACAGATGTTGGGCATTATTTGGGTGTTTCCGCGTCTGGACCTCCCCCCCAAGACCGCCCCGACGTCACCTTGTTCAAATCACAGCTCACCTCTTCAGAACTGCTTTCAATCTGTAATTAATGTGTGTTTTATATATTATAAGTGTGTTTTTGTTTTTGTGTAAAGTGTCTTTGAGTTTCTACAGTAGCGCTCTATAAATAAAATGCATTATTATTATTATTAAAATGTTCTGTAAATACTTAAAAGCTTTTTGTCTCTGTTATTTTTGTAGTGGTCACTACATCATCCTGCTGGCTGAGTCTGTGCTGTTTGGAGTGTTTGTCATGGTCATCTTCTACGACCAGGTACACACACACACACACACACACACACACACACACACACACACACACACACACACAGTTAATTACAAACTTTAGATTTCCCCCAAAATGTTTTATTTAGATTCAACAATTTATTCAGGTGAAAAAAGCACGTAAAATATATCAAATGTCACTGTTTAGTATCATTCTGTCATTATTACTCATAGATAGAGTTGCGGCAATTTTAATGAGGTGTGGCAAAATGCATTCTGGGAAATGTAGGAAATCGATGTAGAAGTGAGACAAAGCATGTGGAAAAAATAAGCTTATCGATGCTTATACTTTCGTCGTTAAAGGTCCCATGTCATGCTCTTCTGGTTATCACGCCCCCCCCCCTTGTGTTATGAAGGTTTCTCTGCATGTAAACGGTCTGCAGTCTCAAACCCTCAAAGTGCACCCTGTAGCGAGTAAAACTCTAACACAGAGAAGACCTGTGTGTGCTGCCCCAGAACGCCTCGTTGGACATTTCTCTTTTTCCATTGTTTACTTCTTGGGTATAGTGACGTAACGTAACGGCTACGCAGATTGGTCCGTGGAGCCGTTTCGTTTGGACCAATCCGCGGACTTCCTCACACACACACACTCGGCGGGACGTTGCGAGGCTCGCTGCTGCTGCTGGCTCACTGGTGTGGGGTCAGCGAGACACCGCAGAACTCAGCCTGGGCACACACACAAACTCCCAGCCAGGCTGCGGGTGTGTGTGTGTTTCGGGCTGGGTTTCGATGTGTCTCGCAGATGGCCACTGGGCTCACAGGGAGGGGGGGGGGTGGGGCAGGAGCTCCAACAAGCCGTGTAGGACAGAGAGTGAATACACATCTATTCTAGTAGACCTCAACAATGGAATTATGATCAGTAGAAATGGCCATGACATGGGATCTGTTTAAGCTTCTTTTTTCTTCTACATCGATTTGATTTCCTACATTTCCCAGAATGCATTTTGCCAAACCTCATTAAAATTGCCGCAACTCTATCTATGAGTAGTAATGACAGAATGATTCTAAACAGTGACATTTGATATATTTTTGCAGAGCTTTTGGGGTTTTCTATGTGCTTTCTTTCAATAGTTTAAAAACACATTTACTGAAACAGTAGACACTATTTTCTTATTATAAACAACCATTTTCTGAAAAAGCGTGATTTCTCCCCTGCAGCTGGTGTCGATCATCACAGACGAGACTCCCATCGAGCAGCTGAGGAACAGATTGATGATCACGGGCCAAGGCTCTTCATCCTCCTCCTCTTCCTCCTCTTCCTCCCCTCAGCCGCCTCCCCCCCCACACACACGCAAACCCAAGATGGCGCTGCTGAAGGAGGTCTTTGGAAGAGGTGTGTTTTGTTTTTATCATCTATTATGTCCTCCCTTTCAAAAATGTTGATATATTTTTCAACTTTTACATTTCTAAATCGTAACCCTTCACTCCTCCAGGTTCAGTGTTTTGTTGGCTGCTTCCGCTCCACTCCAGCCCTCCGTCAGTCGGCGGCATAACGTACTCCGCCCTGCCCGACTACGATGTCTGAGGACGTGTGTGTGTGTGTGTGTGTGTGTGTGTGTGTGTGTGTGTGTGTGTGTGTGTGTGTGTGTGTGTGTGTGTGTGTGTGTGTGTGTGGGGGTGTGTGTGTGTGTGGGGGTGTGTGTGTGTGTGTGTGTGTGGGGGTGTGTGTGTTCGAGGGAGACAGTATTTATGCTAACAGACGATTTAACGGACACACTTTATACTCAAACATCACGCTCTCGATCAAAAGCTCCTACAGGACGATAACTTCCTCTCGGTTGTTGAACTGTAAGACTAGTTTGTTACTGAATTAATTAAGAGGTTATTTATGATTTTTAATAGTAGGTTATATCCAAGTTAAGCTTTAAAACTGTTACCAAGGATGCACTGATGAGGATTACTAAAAGCTGGGACCGATATCTGACGTTTTCCCATCTTTTAGTTAAAAACATTTTAAATTCATTTATTGCAATTAAAGCAGCAAAAATCAACAACCCTAGAACAAATGTTTTTTGGCCATACATTGTATTAATGGATCCATAATGGGTCATTTGTGTTACCGACGAACACCAAAAGACATTGATGTCACTTTATTTTCTATTATTATACATTTTTATGCTCAAACCGACTTCTTGAGCGGAAGATATTGATCATACGATGTCCAAAAGTCACATTTTAAGACAATATATATATAATGATCCACTACCAAAACTGTCCTCCGTTACATATTTAGAATTAATCCCAAAAATCTGATATAATAAATACAGATAACAACAAATAATAATTTCAAGTGATGCATTTGGGTTCAAATGTCCTCAAAGAGATACTTATTTATGTTTTTATGATGATTTTTTTTATTTTTCCTGTTTTTGTATTTAAACGTTTGACGTGCTAACTGAACTATAATGTGTTACACTTACAGATTAACAATACACACACACACACACACACACACACATACCATGTATACATCACTTCAGGGGACATTACATTGACTTACATGCATTTCCTGGAGACTTATCCTAACCTTAACCATAACCAACACATGCCTAACCATAATCCTAACCCTAACCCTAAACAGGTCTTCACCCTAAAATTAATGAGTCCCCTCATGGGGACCTCCATTTTGTCCCCATAAGGGAAGCCAGTCCCCACACGTGACTATGTAAACAGATTTCGGTCCCCACAAGGATGGTAATGCTAGGCCACACACACACACACACACACACACACAGTACTCAGTATTCTGCTAAATCTCAGTGAAGGGACGATGTTTAACTTATTTATTGTTTCTAACTATTCCGTGGAGTTTCTCTACCGACATGTGTGTGTTTTTATGTGACGGGTGAAGTTGCTTTTCCGCACTGAGGACATTTTTAAATGGTGTGTATGTCACTACAGTGTATAAATGAAAGGACTGCAGCAGAAAAGCAGCTTCACCACCATGTTTGTGTGTAAAAGTAACCTGTGTTTGAGTGAACTCTCACAAAATACATTCACAAATGTTACCAAACCATAACTGCCAGTAAGAAAACGGTGTTTCCTCCACCTTTTCCTCGAATGATGTGACTTAAAATCTGCCTTTTTTAAATTCTGTTTCTCACATGCTTCAACTAAAATCAAGATATGTCTGCTATATGCTGACGATGACTCTTAATCCGTTAATAAAAAACCTTTGAGAAGGCAGGGTTTTTAAACGCTGCGTTCACACTCTTGAGCAAGATGGCTAATATTTCAATAATCAGAACAGTTATGCATTATTTTACTGTAATATGGAAAAAACCTTATGAATCACAAATGTTTTATTATTGAATTGTACTCAAAATGTAGAGCTGGGAAATACTGCTAGTTACTATTAATAGGTTTATATTGTTAAAGAATTACTTAATTATACTTTAAAAGGCAGCAATCTTTTTATTTGGGAGGCTTTTATTGGCCATGATTCTCCGTTATCATTTTTCAGAGACACCAATAGGTGGAGATTTTTTATTTTGTATTCAGTGAACCTTAGATCAAATATAATATTAAGGTGATGTTGGTCAATATTTAGCTCATGGTGTGAATGCATGTTTTAAAACCCTCCAAAAAACTATAGTCCTTCAACTTCTAGCATCGTATTTCTGATTGTTTTCATAGTCTTCTAGGTATTTTAATGTGCTCTCCAAGGTTTGGTTTTCATCAAGCTGTACATATGAAGGTTCATATTTAATATCCATGATGTGCAATTCTCATGAAGGGAAAGTTACCGAAACTCATTGTTTGTGTGTTTTCTATCGCGATCTGTATAAAAAAACAATTTGAAATGTTTTTGTGCATATTCTTGAGGTGAAGTCGTACGATTTGTCTTACCTTTAGGATCAAAATGATGGAGGGGAAAAGCCTTTTCTGTAGATTCGTAATAACCTACAGTCCCACGTGATTCTCAAATCAAGCGCACCTCACCTTTAGTAAACACGTAGAAACATTTCAAAGTGTCCTTTTGCCCAGCTGTGTGTTTACTATCAGGTTACTGGCTTTCTTTGTTGGAAAAATGCAGTTGATCTGTTTTTTTGTATCAATGTTACTCAACAGGGTGCGCTTGTTTTGTTTAAATAAAACAAGCGCACCCTATTTTGCTGTTTTTCTTGACAGCGGGAAGGAATGTGTGGACAAACAAACGGGTCCTGAAATTAACACGTGGCCTCCAGCCGAACATTTTACATCTAGTTCTTCAGCTTGTTTTGCAATTCAAGAATGTCCAACTTTTGGGGAAAGAAAATTGCAATATATTCCCAATTTATATTACACTGGTTTGTAATTTCAAAGCCATTTGTATTTCTAATCTAACGCAAACATCAACCAAAGAAGTAATACAACATTATTTCAGATACTGTATGAAATATTAAACCAATTTAACTTGAAAGCTTCATATTTTAAGTGTTACAAGAAGCTGTTTTGACATTAATTAATATTCTTTTTGGTTGGCTGGTTGCCTCAGTAACGCCCGGCAAACAAAACCAACTAAGACTTTAATATCATCTGGCTTCATGATGAACACGTGTATTTATTGTTGCTCTCTTGAAACTGTGCCCTGTGTGTTATTCCTGACGACATGCTGCTCGTTCAACTGGAAGTAAAACGGATGTCTTTTAAACTTCACTGGCTGCTTATGTCTTTTTTTTCATGTGTTTCTTTTGTGAAAGATATTATATTTATTCATAAACAAGCATAATATCTGACCACCGCTCCAAACAAATGGGGGGCAGAGTTTCCTCTCAACTGAGTCCTTGAGGGCTATATTTTCCATTTTCATAAAAGCATAACAGGGCCTCTTTAAACGAGTAATGCAGTGCTTCTCAAAGTGTGGTGGTCCGTGAGCGCCCCCTAGTGAGTATATTGGTAACATTTCACATTTGAAATTAATTAATCAATTGAAGTTCTCCGCACTCTCGCGGGAATATCTCCGCAATGGAACAAGGTTAAGTTTCACTGTCGATTGCATGATATAGCTCAGATAAACACCTTCATCACACATGTTGCCACTTGTTTGTACCATTTTCAGGCGATTTGTAATCTGTTCTAGAAAAACGATGTGGTTTTTGATATTTGTGGAGTTAGGTGGTCCGCGAGTGTTTTTTTATTGGTTAAGTGGTCCTTGGTATGAAAAAGTTTGAGAAACACTGGAGTAATGTAATGTCGACATGCTCCCACAAAATATGGGGCAGCATTTCTGTACTGGGTAAGGTAACATAATACTTTGAATTTAAATAAAACACTTTTCATCACAAAAGGATCATTTACAAGCTGCTTAACTGAACATAAAGTACTTCAAATTTGCCAACATTAAGGTAATGCACACATTAATGCATCAATAATCCAATAATATATATGTGGAAACCAGCCTCTCTGAACAACGACGACTTGTTCTTTAAACGTTTGTGACGCCTATACCTGTGTGACTTATGTAACATTTGACATAAGTGTTTTCTGCTATGACTCACACAAGTACGTGTGTAAAAATCTGACATAACCTGACTAACAGGAAATGGTGTCTGCTTGTGCTCAGTTTGTCATGTGACAGCGGTGATGTTTGACAACCATTACAAAGCATCCTGAGGGAACCTTTTACACTGAGTATTACAGTACAGAGGTCACAGCTTGAAACTAACAACATCTCTTGTGTGTGGGTTTGTAAAGTCAGGTCGTGCTCCACCTACAAATAGTTTTCTATAGTTTGAATCGTGAGAAGTCATCTATTTTGGTAAAGGTAAGGCATGGTAACAGACTTTTAGTATTTTTCTTAAATAACATAGGTTAGAAATGGGGTTAATAATTGAAGAGGAGATTTCTTATGCTCAATTTCAGGTGTATATCAGTATGTAGTGTCTCTACTTTAAAGAGTCCTCTCCTGCTGATGTTCAGGTGTATATCAGTATGTAGTGTCTCTACTTTAAAGAGTGCTCTCCTGCTGATGTTCAGGTGTATATCAGTATGTAGTGTCTCTACTTTAAAGAGTCCTCTCCTGCTGATGTTCAGGTGTATATCAGTATGTAGTGTCTCTACTTTAAAGAGTCCTCTCCTGCTGATGTTCAGGTGTATATCAGTATGTAGTGTCTCTACTTTAAAGAGTCCTCTCCTGCTGATGTTCAGGTGTATATCAGTATGTAGTGACTCTACTTTAAAGAGTCCTCTCCTGCTGATGTTCAGGTGTATATCAGTATGTAGTGTCTCTACTTTAAAGAGTCCTCTCCTGCTGATGTTCAGGTGTATATCAGTATGTAGAGTCTCTACTTTAAAGAGTCCTCTCCTGCTGATGTTCAGGTGTATATCAGTATGTAGTGTCTCTACTTTAAAGAGTCCTCTCCTGCTGATGTTCAGGTGTATATCAGTATGTAGTGTCTCTACTTTAAAGAGTCCTCTCCTGCTGATGTTCAAGTGTATTTCAGTATGTAGTGTCTCTACTTTAAAGAGTCCTCTCCTGCTGATGTTCAGGTGTATATCAGTATGTAGTGTCTCTACTTTAAAGAGTCCTCTCCTGCTGATGTTCAGGTGTATATCAGTATGTAGTGTCTCTACTTTAAAGAGTCCTCTCCTGCTGATGTTCAGGTGTATTTCAGTATGTAGTGTCTCTACTTTAAAGAGTCCTCTCCTGCTGATGTTCAGGTGTATATCAGTATGTAGTCTCTCTACTTTAAAGAGTCCTCTCCTGCTGATGTTCAGGTGTATATCAGTATGTAGTGTCTGTATACTTTAAAGAGTCCTATCCTGCTGATGTTCAGGTGTATATCAGTATGTAGTGTCTCTACTTTAAAGAGTCCTCTCCTGCTGATGTTCAGGTGTATATCAGTATGTAGTGTCTCTACTTTAAAGAGTCCTCTCCTGCTGATGTTCAGGTGTATATCAGTATGTAGTGTCTCTATTTTAAAGAGTCCTCTCCTGCTGATGTTCAGGTGTATATCAGTATGTAGTGTCTCTATTTTAAAGAGTCCTCTCCTGCTGATGTTCAGGTGTATATCAGTATGTAGTGTCTCTACTTTAAAGAGTCCTCTCCTGCTGATGTTCAGGTGTATATCAGTATGTAGTGTCTCTATTTTAAAGAGTCCTCTCCTGCTGGTGTTCAGGTGTATATCAGTATGTAGTGTCTCTACTTTAAACAGTCCTCTCCTGCTGATGTTCAGGTGTATATCAGTATGTAGTGTCTCTACTTTAAAGAGTCCTCTCCTGCTGATGTTCAGGTGTATATCAGTATGTAGTGTCTCTACTTTAAAGAGTCCTCTCCAGCTGATGTTCAGGTGTATATCAGTATGTAGTGTCTCTACTTTAAAGAGTCCTCTCCTGCTGACAACCACTTAGAGATGTCCCGCCCCTTAGCCTATCATGTAGGATCACTAGCATATAGAAGTGTGAATGTTACGTAGTGATGTCACTATCTTCTGGAAGTAAACAAAGGAGTCCAATGGAGGTATTTGTTCTTTAATTGTTTTCTCACTTAATTTATGCAGTTTTTTCATTTTGAGGTCATTCTGTACATTAGAATCATCTCATAGTTAAACACAATACAGTTAAGACACAATGCAATACGAAATAAAGCTTTCTGAATTAGCATAATCAACAAAGTCTTAACGGTATAACTTTCTTTTATGTTATGTTTTTGTTCAGTTTAAATTAATTGAGGTTACTAATTTTTGCATTTGGTTTATATTATATAGAGACATAAAACACATTGCGAATAAAATCGATGGCAGCAAAACCTTCTGAAAAACACTATAAGGCTACGTCCACAGCAGCTTTTCAAAAATCTTGAAAATCTTGGAGCTGGGCGTGTCTGAAAGCTTGGGGATTTTTTGCGAGCAACGCGACCAACAACCAATCACATGAATCTCCCGCCCCCGACATACAAAGCAAAAAACCCCGGGGATTTTAGCGAGCAATATATATATATATATAAACTCCCCAAACAGGCGAAAACCTACCAGTTTCACCCACTGTCTCTGCCACCTCCCTCCATGCCTGGTTCCTCCGGTTTGTATCCCGTTAATAGTTCTGGTCGTAAAGAACCGGGTGATTTGCTACCGTAATTTCTCGTTTGGAATATGAGGAAATGAACTGCGGTCTGGTTCTCCCTGCTTACACGCGGTTTGATTGGCTAGCGCTTCTACTGTCAGATTTGCATAAACGTGATTTGATTGGCTGACGCTTCCAGCTCAGCTTCAAAAGTTGAACATTGCTCAACTGGAAGATTCGTCTAAAGCTGCTGTGTGGACGTACCGTAACGGTGTGTCCACACAGCAGCTTTGACCAAATCTTGAAAATCCTGGAGCTGGGCGTGTCTGACAGCTTGGGGATTTCGCGACCAACAACCAATCACATGAATATCACATGAATATCCCGCCCCCGACATACAAAGCAAAAAAACCCGGTTCTTCTACACCAGGCATCCTCAAAGTCCGGACTCCGGTCCGGATCCGGACCGAACCACAACTGTCTCTGGACTCTGAGCAAATTATACTTTTCATATGTATTATCTGTATTATCTGTGTTATCTGCGAGACATCGCCACAACGCAACGAGTCAAAATGATCCGCTATGTCCATAGACTGCAAACAGCGCTCATGTCCTGTTCCACTGTCTGTGTGTGTCTGTCAACGCATTGGTCCAATCACATTCAGCATCCAGTCAGCGTTTCCCCCCCCCAAACAATCTGCGAATCAGAGGCACAGTAGGGCGGGTCTTCGCGGAATGCGAGTGGGAAAAATGTGTGTGTCTCTTTCAACCTGTCTGAGTCAGAGCGAGAGTTTAAAAAAAAAAAATTCAGAGCGAGAGTTAACAGCTCATCTAGTTCCATCTGTACTGTAGCTAGTAGCCTAGTTTCACCTACCGGGGTGGCAACTGACACCCTAAAAATAGGCCTTGCCACCCCAGCTGCCACCCCAGTTGGCAGCTTTGTTTTGAAAGAAAAGTTGTGGCTCATCGGACATTTATGAGAGAAAGTCTCTAATGTCCGAGTGCAAATGAATGCAGCACAAGATGCACGTCATGTAACCCCTCCCCCGGTCCTGGCGCGAGCCTGGACATACGATTGGTGGCGATTTCATTTTGAACTGGACGGCGCAAAACGAGAAGCATTCGGACCCAAGCGCTGAAGGAATGAGGTATTTGCGGTCTGACAGAGAAGAGACTGTCAGTGTGGCTGTACTCAGCATTGAATCAAAACGCACTAAAGCTGTTGATCTTAAATCGTTTGTGAGGCGTTTTGCTGAACAAGATGGTAATCGCCCATTCAGCTGTAATAGACATGTCAACTTGATGCTCTGCTCACGGATGAGCATACAAAACTGTTAAGATGATGACCTTACGTGTGTAAATATATTGTTTTCTTTGAGGGGGTCTGCCCCCAAAAAACTGTTTTAAGTCCTGAGAAAGTCAAATAAGACGGTGTGTAAAACTACACTGCCCAGCCAAAAAAAAGTAACCACTTTGATTTAACTAGGCCAGTAGGTAAGGACTTACCACTGGATAATAACTGAGTATAAAATAATGCATGACTGAAGTGATGGAGACCATGTTGAAGGCAAACAAAAAGAGGAAATAACAGGTCAAATCAAGCAAATCCCCCTCTCAGATTCCACAGCAACCAGAAGAACATAAATACTGGCTGGTGATTTGATTAATCAGCTTTGTGATGGAATAAAAAATGCACAGTGCATTTCCTTAGCTGTGGGTGAGTCCACTGACACCACTGACAATGCTCAGTTGCTGGTGTTTGTGAGTTTTTATGATGAGGCAAAGGGGGAGTTTGTTGAAGATGTGTTTTGGCCTGACGAACCCCAGTGGACACACAAGGGGGCAAGACATTTATAAAGCAATAATGGGAATGCTGAATGAAAGAGGGTGCAGCTGCCTTTATTCATAACTGTGCAGCTCTTACACTGCGACTCTGAGGGGTCAAGCACAGACACAATAACAATGAAAACGGCTGCATACAGATTATTTTTGTTTTTGCAACCTCGTGTTAAGAATCTTGTTGCAATTGTTTAAAAGTTTGAATGACCGTAATAAACGGACCTTTGTCTTATTGAAACATTTATTTTGGACCTTTAAGATTTGTATTTGAGTACCCCTGTTCTACACTATTGTCAAATAGGAAGGGCTATGATGAACATTTATTTTTTGAACATTTTGAACATTTATGAGATTAATGTTTATGGTGCTATTTTATGCTACATTCCATGCTGGCTAATAATACTGTCTATGCTTGCTAGCAACGAAGTAAACTAGCAACGAAGTAAACTGGATATAAAATCCCCAAACAAGCGAAAACCTACCAGTTTCACCCACTGCCTCTGCCACCTCCCTCCATGCCTGGTTCCTCCGGTTTGTATCCCGGTAAGTAAATAGGGACTGGTCATAAAGAACCGGGTGATTTGCTACCGCAATAACTAAGTTCTCCTCCATTTTTGTGGAATATAGAAATGAACTGCGGGTCTCGTTCTCCCAGCTTGCACGCGGTTTGATTGGCTAGCGCTTGAACTGTCAGATTTGCATAAACGGATCTGATTGGCTGTCGCTTCCAGCTCAGCCTCAAAAGTTGAACATTGTTCAACTTTGGAATCCTGAACATCCTGGAAATCCTGGAAATCTTCGCCTCGCCCCCCCACAATGCAGTTCGGCGACAAGCGAGGGAAAGTGACGTCATCCCCATTCAAAGTCAATGGGCGGAGACGCGCTGGAAGCGGTGGACAAATCGCCAAAAGCTGCTGTGTGGACGGGCCGTTACGGTACGTCCACACTGCAGCTTTAAACACATCTTCAACCGCTTCCAACGCTTCTCTGCCCATTGACTTTGAATGGGGATGACGTCACTTTGCCTCGCTTGTCGCCGAACTGCATTGTGGGGGAGCGAAGCGAAGATTTCCAGTATTTTCAGGATTCAAAAGTTGAGCAATGTTCTACTTTTGAAGCTGAGCTGGAAGCGTCAGCCAATCAAATCCCGTCAGCCAATCAAATCCCGTATATATAAAAAATACAATACACTTCAAATATGTAAATATAATATCAGTAAAAACACTACATTTACACAGCTATGGTTTGCATTCACCCAGATTTTGCTTCGAAGGATTTTAATACCTGTAATTAATTTGATTTCCTTTGGTGAAAGTAGATAGTCCTTAATTCAGATTGTCAAATTCGGAGCATTAATGTCATCTTCAGGTGAAGTTAGGAATAAAAGCTCATGAAGTGTTGTTTGCTCAAAAGAGGCTGACCTTAAGGTTTTACATTTGAGCGGTACCTACAAATATTCAGGCTTAATTTACAGGGGTTGCTCGGGTTGTGAGTCCCAGTTGAACACTTCTGACGAGGCGTAGAGTTATGTCTGATGGCAGCCCTTTTCTCACCAGCTCGTCTTTAATCTGTAGAAGAAAAGTGAAATAAGTGCGAGATGTAAAAAGATATTATGACAATGATGAATGATGACATCATTGTTCTGTAAAGTGAGAATACTCGACCCAGTCTCGCAAAATAACATGTAATAGCTACGTTGGTCGACAGGGCAAAACGTAGTATATTCACAAATAACCCTCTCAGGACGTGACAACAAAAACATGGAGCTCAAATAATCTTCGTAATATCTATCAAACTATGGATCCTACACATCCACTGGACGTGGATTCTAAAAGCACAATATAAACTTGTATAAAGAAAGGTAATCAAAATATAAAGAAAGGTAATCAAAAAGCATTTTAATGGCCAAACTATCCTACAATTTAGGATTTTCCACTAAAAATAAATTGGGTGTCCGCCATGTTTTTTTTTTTCTCACGCAAGGAAAGTTTGAGATCACGTGACCTGGACACTAGAAATGAATAGGACAACATATTGTAGCCATGTCACGTCTTGAGAGGGTTATACAGGCCACCTGTAACTAGATGTTGGATCTCAGTGGAGCATGTGGGATAGAAGAGAGCAAGCTGGTTACAACGATGACGAGATGCACGGGGCCAGTAAAAATTGCGAGAGGACACATGAACAGGAATGGAGAATATACACATTTCTTAGCAAGAGGGGACAAAAAGCACCAGAGATACTCAGCACAGTTCAAGTAGGATTTGCCTCCCTCGTGACTCCAACAGGACTCCTTTGTCTTTGTCATTCTTCGTCTGTCTGGCGCTGAAGCTAACGCTTCAGGAAAGTGCTGCCTAAAATGGACACCAGTCCTGATTGCGTGTCACAGCTGTGGGGCCACGCCCCTTTAATTAGTTAACTCTATGCAGCTGATGGGCGCCAATTGAAACTGGCTCACTCCTGAGTTCTTAAAGGTGGGGTAGGTAATTCTGGAGAAACTAGCTCGAGTGCGCTAGAATTTGAAAATACACAGCCGGAACAAATCTGCCACTTCCTTACAGAGCCCCTCCTCCAACACACACGAACGCACACATGACCAATGAGGGCACGAGATAAGTTTGTGCCCAGATGGAAGGCTGACAGGCAGGTAGCCCATCCAGTTACTTTAGCCGGGCCGGCTCAGATGATTGGTCGTGCTTTTTACAGTGCTACGGCTTCTACAGATGACATTTCTTTATGGATGTTTTGTCAAAGCACTTCAGATATTCATTGCTATCGGGATGTTAAGAGCATTCCATGGAATATAACAAGTGTATCTCGAGCCGGTTTCTCAAACGTACCTACCCCACCTTTAATGAACTTTTTAGTGACCATTTTTTACAATTGCATTAACCTTAGGTAATAAAGTTATGAGGTTAACCCTAATACAGTTACCCCTAGTCAATAAAGCCCTTTACATTTTGTAACATTTTATTTATAAAATCGTTGAGTGTTTCAGGGTATTCTCTGAACACCTGAAAGCGCTGACGGTTCACCACTGGATTTTGGAAAAATAGGCTGAAGAAACATTAGGAACATTTAAATTGATGCTTTGACAGAGCTTATTTCTGAGAGGCTGACCTGTTGTATGATGGTACTCCTGATGAAGTCTTCAGACAGTGGAGACGCAGAGGAAATGTTGATTCTCATAGCTACAACACCTAGAAGAACAGTGACTTGACATTACAATGCAGGCCAGAAGAGTGCTGAAACACTGCGATGCACAGAGAACCTCAACTGCGATTGTTCTTATTTAACTATGTGCATTAAGAGATACAGAGGTGGACCAAATTGTATTTGTACTGCAATTTGGTTTTCCATTTACCATCCTGCAGTTTTGTATGCAAAACATAGTTTAAAACGTCACCATTTGTTGTACCAGTCAACAAAACTATGACGAAAAATGTTCGTCAACCACCTTTTCTACATGACTAAGACGAGACGATGAGGAGCTAAAAATACATTTTTTTAAATAAAAACTATGACGAAATGTATATTTTGTTATCGATTAAAACGTAATGATTTTTCATCGACTAAAACCGGACTAAAACGTTTTGAGTTGTCGTCGACTAAAACTAGACTAAAACTATGAACGATAAAAAGGACTAAAATGTGATTAAAACTAATAACCATTTTCGTCTAAAGATTAAGACTAAGACTAAAATAAGTACCACAATTAACACTGTGTCGTACTCACCTTGTTTTGAGACTCCAGTTACTGGTGGTGTTGTTGATGGAACGGCTGTGGTTATTGTTGGCTCTGTAAGGCGGAATGGAGAATACAAGAAAGATTACCAAGGAAAATAGAAATGGAAGTTAAAAGTAGAAGCTAAGACAGTTTGACTCACCATTTCCAACAGTCACAATGACACATCGGAGCTCAGACTGATATTTGGTGGTTGAACTGTGGAAACATATCAATACGTTAAGTCATTTACCAAACGGTGACAGAAATCTTTAGCACCAAGTAATATATTCAATTAAATACATAAACCTGCCGCCTGCAGTCCATTTCCCATTATCTTTTAGGAACTTAAAAACTAAATGAATCCCCAAACTCCTTTCTTATCTTTTATATTTATACTGACAGACCTAAACACCTTTGCCTTCAGTTAAAAGCTTTCCTTATACGTTTCTATAGGCTAATGTTCAGCCGATCAAGTGACTGACTTCGTGATTGATTGGATGACAAAACAGATGGGATGGCTTTCTCCGTCTTCTTCTTGAGACGGCGTCCATCTCAGGAGGAACCGTCCTGCTCCTAATGAACTCTTGTTCATGTTGTACGGCCCGCTGAACAGCAGCTCAAGCGTCCTTTAAAAAACAGAAGAAGAGTTCAATGTTATCAATTCTAATTCTAGAGCATTATTGTAGCAACAAAAACTTTTTTTATATAAATATATAGTGAAGTAACGACCGAAGCTGCTCTCCATGTGTGTTTGGTAATCCAAGTTCCTGACTTAACTTTATTTTAAATGCAGTTTTTCATGCCTTCATTGCAGTTGTTCTACGGTAAGCTGATTTTACATTAAGTGGTCGAAGCAGTATATGCCTTTAAAAGTCTGAGCTTGTAAAACTACTGAAACAACATGGTGCTTATGCACAATTTACTCTAGGGCCCTGAATGCATTACCCACTGTGTGTAAAAATATTAGCACCATACAGTTGGTTGGTTCAGTTAAACTTTCACTCTTGTCAAACCTGTCTTGGGCGTTTAAATTACACAAGACGACATATCAGATTCTTTGTGCACCTGAAAATCTTTAGAGAATGATTACAATTTGTCCCCGCCCTATTGACTGTGGCTAAAAGTATTTTTCATCTAACCAGAGAATGTCCTATGTCATTAACCTTTGGTATTTTGTTATGTAAGTTCTTTACATTTAGTTGTATGTTAGACTTACGTGGAGACATTAGCCTCTGCATTGACGCTGATAGAAAGGGTCTGATTGACAGGGGTGTACAGTTGAGCTTTGTTGGCTGGAGTTGGAGTCAGGAACCTGGGCAGATAGAGTCCCTCTGTGCAGGAGGGCACTGCGGGGTCCACTGGAAAAATAAAGAAACGTTTTTAAGGACGGCAATACCTTTAGGGTCGTCAAGGCATCAGTTGTTCCGACACTTTAAAATATCTTGCATGCTGTTTGATTGCCATAACCTTTTGTCAAATCTAGACCCATTTTAACTCTTTGAGAACTGATTCCTTTTTTTGTTAAAAGCATAAATTGGAAGAATAAAACAAATTCAAATCGTATCCATCGCTAGCTAGCTGAGGAATCATCCAATCGATCATGTTCGTTATGACTTTGACAATTTACTCTCAAATAACCAGTGACGTGCGGTGAGGTTCATGGCTGGTGAGGCACTGACTCTTTCAGAGTCAGATTTACAAATATTATTTTTTGACCTTAATCGAAATGTTCGGTTATTTTCAAAAGCTTTTTTAGTTTAACAGACCGTTCAACAAAAGGTTACCCACAATCTAAATATTGGATTGTTCTTTCTTAGTAAGATCCCATGTTCATTACAATTGTGGTCTTACCTTGACTTGAAGATGAAGTCCATGCTATCCTTCTGGACAACAATCTCTATTACTTTTTTGTAAAAGTCCTCCTTGTCTTCCTCTAGTTTCAAAAGTCTAGTTTGTTGTTTGCGTCTGGTCTACCGTCCCTGCGTAGAATAACAGTAGCAACAAGAACATGTGGGCTCACTTGCGCCCCCTTCAGTGCGGCAGAGGTTATGGCTGCCTCTCCTGGTGCTTTTTTCATTGCCGTTGTATGATGAGACCAGCGAGCCTAAATATCATATATACGTGAAATAAGTTATTTAGAGACTATGGATGGCGAGGATAAATGTAATAAAGGGATCTACAAACATTACATTGGTGACATACAGTGAGATGGTGCAGGCATGCGCTTAGGGCCCGCTTTCCAGCCAGTTTCTGTGGGGTGACGCTTTCTGAGGTGAGGCAGAGCTCATCTGTGCCTCACCTCACCCCACAGCAACTGGCTTGAGCGCGCTCACAAAATAAGTGCCCGCGCTACATTAGTGCCCGCGCTACAGCCAGTTACCACAGTAACTGGCTTACGAGAGGCAGAGCTCGTCCCTGCCTCACTCCTCTTCGCTCCCTTGTAGGAGTTGTAGCGGAGCTCGGCCAATTAGCTGATTTTGACTATAAAAAGCGATTGGAATCAAACAGAAATCACACTTACAACACAGATCAGTGGAGACATGTTATTATTATTAGGGCCCGAGCACGAAGCGCTAGGACCCAACGGCGTCCTAGCACGAAGTTCCACCAATAACTATTGTTATTGGTGGAATTATTTTTTTTATGCTGGCGTTTCCTGTTTTTGAGGCCTTTAGGACGCTGAAAAAGTTGTATAATTTTGCACAGATTCCAGAATCGGTGAAAACTACAATATTCTGGACTCAATTTGTTCACATTGTTCAACATGCTCTCTAGCGCCACCTATGGCCATTTTCGTTTTTGGAAAGATGTACAAAGTCGCACCGTAACTCCAAATGACCTGACATTTTTCACACTTACTCGGGTGGACCTGCTCTACATATAATGTCCAAGTACCCGTAAGCTCCGCCTTTTTTTTAAATTAGCATAATTTTAAAAACAGTTAATTATTCACTTAAATTTCAAATTTTGGTTTTTCAACACCAAACTCAGTATACAGTATCGCCGGAGGGTCAGACACATTATCGTAGGAAATGAGCATGTTCAGTCGATAAATGTGGCCGTCATTACTCTAAACGTGTTCGCAAAAAGGCGGGGTTTAGATAGAAATGCTCATAACTCATCAACAATGTACCAAAAAAACACACATTTTGGTGGTAAGGTTCAGTCTGTATTGGGGAATAAGCACAAAAAGTAATTTACATTTTGGACTATAGGGGGCGCCAAAAACATGACAAATGTATAACTCATGAACTGATGGACGAAATATATATATTTTTTTTAGACATACTCTGGGGATGAGTATGGACTTATATTTAAAGTATCACAACGAATGACAAATGTGGGCGTGGCCTGTACTTTTTTTTTCATGACGATGAGCTAAAATGTGTTTCGGTACGCAAAAATTGGTACACGCGTCACAGCCCACGTCTTTTTCAAGAATGTAAAAAAATAACTTAATGTTTCAAAACAACTGCTCACTAGCGCCCCCTATTGTGTGGTAGTCACATATAGTTTCTCAGAACTTCACGAATTTTAGCACAGACATTCCTCATGGAATTGCGGACACATTTGTACATACATTCCATTAGCCCCGCCCCCCAAAAAGTCGGCCATTTTGAAATATGTGCGTTTTTCAGCCATTTTAAGCACATTCTTGCACACTCCTCCTAGGGGAATGATAGGAACAATTCCAATCCAGGACACGTTCAGCCCCTATCCAATATGATACTTAATTCAGAAGAACATTTTTGATAGCTCAATCGTGGAGGTCGTAAGCTAACAGCGAATACACCATTTTTGACGATTTACATGTCGCAAATTACTCCAAACTACTCGGATATAGTTAATTCGATATTCACGAAACGCTGTATACATATTGCTATTATGATTGCACACATATTTCAAATTGCCTTCCATTAGCCCCGCCCCCCAGAAAGTCGGCCATATTGAAAAATGTGCGGTTTTCAACCATTTTACGCACGTTCTTGCAAACTCCTCCTAGGGGAATGATCGGAAAAAATCCAATCCAGGACAAGTTCAGCCCATTTCCAATGTGATGCTAAATTGCGAAGCAATAGTTGATCGCTCAAACGAGGACTTCGTAAGCGAACGGAGAACTTTCCATTTTTGACGATTTACATGTCACAAATGACTCCAAATGACTCCAAACTACTCGCGTATACTTTTTCCAATATTCACGAAACGCTGTATACATATTGCTATTATGATTGCACACATATTTCAAATTGCCTTCCATTAGCCCCGCCCCCCAGGAAGTCGGCCATTTTGAAAAATGTGCGGTTTTCAGCAATTTTACGCACGTTCTTGCGAACTCCTCCTAGGGGAATGATCGGAAAAATTCCAATGCAGGACAGGTTTAGCCCCTATCCAATATGATACTTAATTGAGGAGCACATTTTTGAAAAATTACTCGTGGAGGTCGTAAGCTAACAGCGAATACATCATTTTTGACCATTTACATGGCGCAAATTGCTCCAAACTGCTCGCATATAGTTTTTCCGATATTCATGAAACGCTGTATACACATTACTATTATGATTGCACACATATTTCAAATTGCCTTCCATTAGCCCCGCCCCCCAGGAAGTCGGCCATTTTGAAAAATGTGCGTTTTTCATGCATTTTAAGCACATTCTTGCAAACTTCTCCTAGGGGAATGATCGGAAAAATTCCAATCCAGGACAACTTCAGCGCATATCCAATGTCATGCTACATTTAGAAGGAATAGTCCTTCGCTCAAACGGGGAGCTCGTAGGCTAACGGAGAATGTACAATTTTTGACCAATTATATGTCAGATAAGCTAGAGACCTGCCTGTCTGCCTGGCACATCAACTATCACACACACACACACACACACACACACACACACACACACACACACACACACACACACACACACACACACACACACACACACACACACACCTACTGTTAGTCCAACAACGCCCTTTGCTGGCGGCATATTCATTACAAAAGACACCTATACACTCCCTAACCCTAACCCTGTCCCTAATGTTTATTTGTAGATATCTCCTAAAGCCTACAAATAAAGTGTGACATGTAGGCCTGTTACATTTGTTATTGAGCGATATATATTATACACACTGTTCTGCTTTCTGCACTGACCTCAGCAGCTGTTCTCACTGTAACATCACCTAACATCCAGGGCACATGTGATTAGTGAGTAAACAAACGGTAAAGGGCAGAAAGTCTGATGCACATTTGATCATCTCAAATAACTTATAATCACAACGGGAACAGTTTGCAGAGCTGTGCTTCGTTTGACAGAAGTCCAGCCATGCGTCACGCCTCTTTTAAACATCACTGTTGGCTGAAATCGTCTCAGGAGAATACTTCAGTGTACCCTCGGTTATAGCTCCTCCAGAGACACTCCTCTCTCCTCTAAATCAGTGTATCCTCGGTTACGGCTCCTCCAGACAGCCTCCTCGATAATCGATCCTCAACGAGCCTTTAGAGAAATTTGTTTTCCTTCGAGACGGCGCGCCGAAATCCGTTTCCGGGTCGCTGCCGGAGGACCTGGGAGTCTGGTTCAGACTCAGCTCTCAGCGCTTAAGCTTCTTTTAAATGTGGATAAAACCAAGTTAATGCTCTTTTCAAAAGCTAAAAAGTCACCAGAGCCTGTTTTAGATATTGTAACCATGCAAGGAAAAAAACTTGAAGTGGTAACCTCTTAAAAATACCTTGGTATCTGGCTTGATGACTGTCTTTCTTTTAAACTGCATGTAAATAACCTGCTTAAAAAACTGAGGGTTAGGCTAGGTTTTTTTTATAGAAACAAGTCCTGTTTCTCTCTTGAGGCCAGGAAAAGGCTAGTCACTGTGACCTTTTTACCTGTGCTGGACTATGGTGATCTATTTTATATGAATGCGCCGGCCAATTACCTCACCAAGATAGATGCCGCCTATCATAGTGCACTAAGGTTTGTGACAGACTGTAAGACTTTGACTCATCATTGTACCCTGTATACAAGGGCAGGGTTGCTTTCACTTACTGTACGGCGGCTAAATCACTGGTATCTTTTTATTTATAAAGCAATGTTAGGGAAACTTCCGTCTTACATCTGTTCCCTGATCTCACAGCGTATTGTAAATGGCTACTGCCTGAGATCTAAAGCTGTGGTTGTATTACATGTGCCAACTGCTAGGACTGTATTAGGAAATACAGCTTTTAGATGCGCAGCGCCGCTAGCATGGAACAGTCTACAAAAGGAATGGAAGCTAAGCAGTTTGATTCCATTTCATGTTTTTAAAGCTAGGATAGACGCTATACAATCAGAAAATATTGGTGTCTGTAAATGCTACTAGTATACAAACTGTAGTATCATATAATGTCCTTTGTTTTCTGTCATGTTTGTATTCATGTTTGGAACTAATTGAAGCAGGTCACCATTGTAAAAGAGGTCTATGATCTCAATGGGTTTTATCTGTATAAATAAAGGTTTTGAATTGAATTGAATTGAATTGGGACGCGAAAATTAGAGAGATGAGAAACGGCTCATTTCGCGCGTCTGCTTGACGCCGGGACGACCTGCCGCCCTCCCCGACAGGCGCACGGACGCGAGGGCCCGCTCCTCACTGCGCGCACAAGTGCGACCGCAGTTTTAATTATTATTACTATTGAGTTTTTCATGTTTTTCCGTTACATTGGAGTATGACAGGTGAGGCTCTGCCTACCCTGACTGCACGTCGCTGCAAATAACTGATGATCAACAAGCTCCATGATGAATAACTTCAGGCAAAAATAATAACAAATCTTACCTCTTACAGCAAACTGGACAGGTATTTTGCTGATAGCACTGGTGACTGTCAGCCCTCCGTTTTGAGTCAGAGAGATGGTCTGCCTGGGAAAGTCCTCCATCACCATCTGGACAATGTACGGACCTTCGTTTACGCTGCTGTTGGGGCTGAAGGACAGAATACAGGACTGAAAGAGGACGAAAGGGGACAAGAGGTAAACAAAAGTAACGAAATGTCATTTTTTCTAATAACGTCATCTTCAAGCATCAGTGACTGGAGCTACTCACTTCTGAGAGGCTGAGAACAGACGGCGTAGTGCACTGGGTACACTCTGACAGAGAGGAGTTTGCGTATCTGCATCTGACCTCATCTCCATCCGGATCAAAGTCCAGCAGGTGGAAATCTCTCTGACAGTTTGAAGGAACTCTGACGGAGAAAAACAATATGTGAAGCACGAGCCATGCAGCCGACCGATCTGCTGTTGCTCAATGTTGTCTAGACAGAGTTAACTATTAAATGTCAAAGGATGTGTTGTGGCAAGAAATGGTAGAACTGCTGACAAATAGATGGAATAAGAAACCGTGAGGGGGGTCACCTCAAGGCTGGCAGGATTGTGGTCTGGGGCGATGTGTTGGCTTGTCTGATGTCCGACCTGTTCCCCAGCTCCACTCCAGTCACAGCTTTCCATCTTGAGATGCCATAGTTATTATTTATCCAGGCATTGCCAGACAACCTTCATGAGAAAGACAAGTTTTAACCTGCTGCACAGAACCTGGCACATATGTACCCATGTCTTGCATAAGCGTTCATGTAACTTGGAAACTATTCTAATATTAAATATGTTTTAAAATGATTATGACCAGAACAAAAGCAATGATTGGAACAATATTGTTGTGACACCAAAAGTTTTACCTTGCATTAGATTTCATTTAGCTGACACTTTTATTCAAAGCGATTTACAATAACTTACAAAAACCTAAATATGGTGGTGATTTCTTTCCTTGATGTCTTACTGTTTTACCACCTTTACAACATGCGTTGGCAACGCTAAGTTTCAATATTGTCAAGCCAATAAAGCAATTTGAATTTGCATAAACCACCACCAATTAAATTGAACCTTAATGTTCTGTTTTTGCAATTACCAATCTTTTCTTTAAAGGTCTTCAAACATTTTAATTGTGATTGTTTTACCCTTTTAAAAGGTTATGTTTATTATTATGGAACTCACTCTAATTGGAACTGAGAGTTGATGGGAACCTGCCGAGTCATGATTCCCTCTCTTTGAAACCACTCTCCACTGCTCTCCTGGTCCACCATGTTTAGCTCCAGAGAAGTCTGATTCCCGCAATTTAGAGAAGGGCAGGTCCAGAAGTTGCTCGAAGAAAAAAGGTGGAAGCTCAGCTTATAGCGAAGGACAACCTGTAGTCATTACAGTGGCCGAGTGTTATTCCAGGGAAAGAAGACATAAAAGGTTTGGAAAATATGACTACAAATCTTGTTTTTTAGATAACATGAATGTCATCACATGGTCCAGGTTCCATACAGAGACAACAAGCACCTCATTCAAAGGTAATACAACAAATATCCTTGTGTATCCCTTTAATTTTCTAACATTTTCCAAAATGTCTGTTTTCACTTTTTCAGCTATTATTCATTCACAAACTGTTAGTTGTGTGAAGTTATTCTTGTTATGTATTGTCACATTTCAACTGATAACTATTGAATTAAAAGAAAACGTTACGTACCGTGAGAGATCCATCTGCATTAGTGTTTTTTGGGTAATAAGTCATTACTGTCCCGTAAAAATGAGACGACTGGGCGCCGCAGACCAGCAGTAGCAGCAGCAGAGAGACACACATAGTAAAGGTATTACTCTCTCCACACAATGAGAGTAAATGACTACCAAGACTAAAGCATTTACTTCAATAGTAGAACAATAAACCAGAAAACTGGGTATGAGGAAATGTCCTTATGCCAGGAAGATATGAAGATAAGCTTGTAAAACCTGATGTGAGTTTTTGTGGTTAGGGCGTATTAGGGTGTATTGTAGTTCAGTCAGACAACTCACGTGTTTCTTTAACACGTGTATTAGAAGCAGAACAGAGTTGAGTGTGGGTCCATTAAACCGTCACAGAGTGTGAGGTAAGTAAGAAGAATTCAGGGACTGCTCTTTAAATTGCGCTCCTAATAAATAAAGGGAATTGGATCCAGAAAAAAATAAAACACTTGGATGCAATTTAATAGAATTTGGACGCACCCTTTGCATTAGTATTGGAATGCGGCCCGACCATAACAATGTCGCATTTGGCTCCAAGCTACTCTGTGCCATGCTCCTAGTTTATTTGTTACTCAGTGTTTTTGGATATAAATGGGAGGATGTTCCGGCGGCAAACTGTTATTGTTAATGTCATGTATATGTCCTAAAGTTACGTGCAGGGTGGAAACGTGGAAAAAGGCAAAACATGACACTTGCAAAGATGTTTTTTATGAAAAGAAAATATGTAGTTTTATTTTTCAGCTCTCAAACAGAAACATGTATCAAAAGAAACAGAACAAGATGCTGCTCTTTCTAAAAATAAAAACAAGATTCCTCTTTCCTCTCATTCCAGTCACTTACAAAGCAATAGAGCCCGCCTTCCCAATTCAAATTGGCCAATCAGGTCACTTGATTAGTTGCGATTGGTCACAAACTTAACAAACAAAAACAAAAAACTCAATTACTAATGTATTGTCATAATTACATTATTTACTTTCAAATAATACATTGTAACCATACATACTTCATCATCATCATTTGACCAATCACAGTTTAGACCCCGCCCACTCTCAAACCACATATCAAGACTGAAGGAGAACTGAAACTCAGCTCATGGATTTCATGATAGCTTTTCTGTTTATAATGAACTTCTCTTTCCAAAACAAATGTTAGCAGACAGTGAGAGAGGAATTTGGATCTTCCTCACACATTTGAAGAGCGGTTTGCTTAACAGTGAGGGTAGAGCTTCTGATCTTGCTGTTTTACATCTGATAGTCAACTGAAAAGCAAATGTTCCTGCAGGGGTCAGTAAAAGTTCACGTTGAATCGACAAGTGTTGCTGTCACAAAGTGAATAAAGTCAGTATGTTAGACAGTGGGACGGATGGTTAAACCTTTTATATAATTGTTGCATGTTACATATAGTGTTGTGATTTTAATGTTGTGCGCTATTTAGCGATGAACTCTTTTTATTTACATGCTTGTTTAACCTCCTCAACGAACTGTCACAACAAAGACACAGACACTGCTGATTGACACACCGGCACCCAGTGAAAATCAGCGATCCCATTCGCCAGTTGCCAAATCCACTCCCCCATAAATACGCCGACTACCTGCTAGACGGCAGCTATTCTTCTCTTGACAGTTGCTGCCTCACCTCGCCGCAGATCGGACCGGATCGGGTCCCTCCTCCTGCTCCTCCTCACCTCGCAGCAAATCGGACCGCACCCTCCTCTAACCATCGGATTCAACGCTGAAACAAACTCCAGATAAAGGGAAGTGGCTATTTCTCCTGCTTTTGGGCGTCTAGTTTTACGTCACGAAAGTTACATTGTTGTCTCCTTCGCTTCCAAGCGGACAGGACTTTCAGGATTTTATCAACCCGTGCTAGAACTGTAATTCTTAAGTAACTGGTTTATATTTATTGAACATTATTTTAACCTTACGTTATTTTAAGTATTTATCAAAGGAGTGTTTTTAAAGTAACTTTGTACAAATAAACAATTTTACACCTGATGTCAGCCCTTGTCTAACAAGTTCATCTCTTATCTGCAGAAGAAAAGTAACAGTAGTGCTAAAATATATGATCATGACAATCAGATATCATAGTTCTGTGTAAAGTGAGTGCTGTTATTCTTATATTGCAAAGTCCTTGCAGCGTCTCAAATGGTTCTTGGAGACACATGATACTTGACATTAACTTTTACTTTAACACGCACTTCATGTATTGATTACAAATTCCACAGTGCCTACAAAATATAATCACACCTGCAACTAGCCTTGGTAGGGGCAGTAAGTTGGGAAAACATGGCGTTTTTTCCAACGCACCATAACCCCAATAGTTTAAAAACTGTTTATCTTACCAAAAGCCAATTTTGTAGACACTTTGTTACCTCAAAAACCTTCCAGAAAAAGAAATCCTATCCCCACAACTAACAGAAGCACATGACTTGCAGGACGACATCATCACATCTTTCGCATCGGAATATTATTTTCCTACCATGGAGAAGGAATTATGCTTTTCTCTGGTTGGCTTAACCCTTAACCTAAAACATCTTACTCCTTATGGCAAACCAACCAAACCAGCAAACCCAATAAGTACTAGCTAATCAGGGGGATGGTAGGGCGGGTCATGACTTGACAGTAGGAAAACAATAGAGTGGTGCAGTGACAAGCCCTAAAGCCCGGAAGTGAGTTAGCATTTAAACACTACTGGTTCCCTCGTCTCCGAGTCAACAGGATTTCTCCAGAGGATTTAGCAAAATATCTGGAAATAAGGTCTGTGGTTGGCACAAATTTAAGATACAGATCACGTTTTGTTCTACAACATTAAATCAATCAGCAGTGACCCCACTGGTGATTTCTGAAGAGTTTACGTGTCTGAAAAACGATGGTTGTTACCAAGTGGCTGAATAGGACTACAGAAGTTGTGGACGTTGTACGTCATAACGCCGAGCACGTAAACATTCCCTTGTTGGAACCATTTAAACTGAGTAATACAGTACAGAGGTCACAGCTTGAAACTAACATCTCTTGTGTCTAAGCTTGTAAAGTCAGGGCGTGCTCCACCTACATAGTTTTCTATTCTTTGAATCATGAGACGTCACCTATATTTTGTAAAGGTAAGGCATGGTAACACGACTTTTAGTGTTTTTCTTAAATAACCTAGGTTAGAAATGGGGTTAACAATTTAAGAGGAGATCTTATGCTCAATTTCAGGTGTATATCAGTATGTAGTGTCTCTACTTTAAAGAGTCCTCTCCTGTTGATGTTCAGGTGTATATCAGTATGTAGTGTCTCTACTTTAAAGAGTCCTCTCCTGCTGATGTTCAGGTGTATATCAGTATGTAGTGTCTCTACTTTAAAGAGTCCTCTCCTGCTGATGTTCAGGTGTATATCAGTATGTAGTGTCTCTACTTTAAAGAGTCCTCTCCTGCTGATGTTCAGGTGTATATCAGTATGTAGTTGTCTCTACTTTAAAGAGTCCTCTCCTGCTGATGTTCAGGTGTATATCAGTATGTAGTCTCTCTACTTTAAAGAGTCCTCTCCTGCTGATGTTCAGGTGTATATCAGTATGTAGTGTCTCTACTTTAAAGAGTCCTCTCCTACTGATGTTCAGGTGTATATCAGTATGTAGTGTCTCTACTTTAAAGAGTCCTCTCCTGCTGATGTTCAGGTGTATATCAGTATGTAGTGTCTCTACATTAAAGAGTCCTCTCCTGCTGATGTTCAGGTGTATATCAGTAGTGTCTCTACTTTAAAGAGTCCTCTCCTGCTGATGTTCAGGTGTATATCAGTATGTAGTGTCTCTACTTTAAAGAGTCCTCTCCTGCTGATGTTCAGGTGTATATCAGTATGTATGTAGTGTCTCTACTTTAAAGAGTCCTCTCCTGCTGATGTTCAGGTGTATATCAGTATGTAGTGTCTCTACATTAAAGAGTCCTCTTCTGCTGATGTTCAGGTGGATATCAGTATGTATGTAGTGTCTCTACTTTAAAGAGTCCTCTTCTGCTGACAACCACTTAGAGATGTACCGCCCCTTAGCCTATCATGTACAATGTGTAGGATCACTAGAAGTGTGAGTGTTACGTAGTGATGTCACTATGTTCTGGAAGTAAACAAAGGAGTCCAATGGAGGTATTTGTTCTTTAATTGTTTTCTTACTGAATGTATGCAGTTTTTTCAGTTTGAGGTTATCCTTTAACGCCCACATAAAATCAATTTCAAGGACCGCCTACTTCCATCTACGTAACATTGCAAAAATCAGGCATATCTTGCCTCAAAACGATGCAGAGAAACTAGTCCATGCATTTGTTACTTCAAGGCTGGATTATTGTAACTCTTTATTATCAGGGTGTACCAAGAAGTCAGTCAAGTCGCTTCAGCTGATTCAAAATGCTGCGGCTCGTGTACTAACCAGAGTTAGGAAAAGGGACCACATTACTCCTGTTCTGGCTGCCTTACACTGGCTCCCTATAGAACACAGGATAGAATTTAAAATTCTTCTTCTCGCCTACAAAGCCCTTAATGGGCAGGCGCCATCTTACCTTAAAGAACTCATTATACCCTACTGTCCTACTAGGGCATTGCGTTCCAAGAATGCAGGGTTGTTGGTTGTTCCTAGAGTCTCTAAAAGTACAATGGGAGCCAGAGCCTTTTCTTATCAAGCTCCACATTTGTGGAATCAGCTTCCAGTTTGTGTTCGGGCGGCAGACACCCTATCCGTTTTTAAGAGTGCGCTTAAGACCTTCCTTTTTGATAAAGCTTATAGTTAGGGCTGATTAGATTCAGCCCCTAGTTTTGCTGATATAGGCTTAGTTTGTCGGGGGACATCTTACTTCTTCCTTCTCTCTGTCTATACCTGTGTACTCTCATGTTCCGATTAACCCAGCTTCCCCAAATGTCTTTCTTTTTGGTGGCTATATACGCCGGGATCCGGAGTCATGGATGATCCTGCGCTCCTCTGTCCTGGATCTTGAGTCGTGGCTGTGGTCCTGGATCATAGATCCTGGATGGATATCCTCGTGGATTCATCTTCCTATTATACACACATGCATTTCCAAACATTTGGACTACCTATGTTGCAAATGTATTATCTTTTCAATTTACACACGGCATCTATTGCACGTCTGTCCGTCCTGGGAGAGGGATCCCTCCTCTGTTGCTCTCCCTGAGGTTTCTCCCATTTTTCCCTTTAAACTGTGGGTTTTCTTCGGAAGTTTTTCCTTGTACGATGTGAGGGTCTAAGGACAGAGGGTGTCGTATTGTCATACTGATATTTTGTACAAACTGTAAAGTCCACTGAGACAAATGTAACATTTGTGATATTGGGCTATATAAATAAACATTGATTGATTGATTGATTCTGTACATTAGAATCATCTCATAGTTAAACACAATACAGTTAAGACACAATGCAATATGAAATAAAGCTTTCTGAATTAGCATAATCAACGGTATAACTTTCATTTATGTAAGATTTGTTTTTGTTCAGTTTAAATTAATTGAGGTTACACATTTTTGCATTTGGTTTATATTATATAGAGACATAAAACACTGCGAATAAAATCGATGGCAGCAAAACCTTCTGAAAAACGTAAGCGACGCCGCCTCTTAGCTCCGAAGCTCTTGCCTCTAGACCGACAATTTTTTGGAGCTGGAAGTGAACCGGATTCCGGAGCTAAGAGGCGGCGCCTCTGCGGTGTGAACAGGAAAAACCGGTACTTTCCAGGCTCCAGCTCCAGCTGAAAACGCGTTGGTGTGAAAGGGGCATAAGAGTCACACTAGTCAACTATTCCCTCAAACATGTGATGAGTTCAACCACCTCCTGCAAAACAACTCTAAACAAAACTGAAGACTTTGATTTTAAATCATTAAACTCTGATCATATACATAATCTGGAATATTGAATTTGAATGTGTTTTATTTGGGAAAATGCAAAAATTAGAGTAGAAAATACTGTCCCTATTGGCTTTTTGCATGTACAGTGTAATAGAAATATACTGCTTTCACTCTCGTAAAAATATAATACACTTCAAATATGGAAATATAATATACATCAGTAAAAACACTACATTTATCACAGCTATGGTTTGCATTCACCCAGATTTTGCTGCAAAGGATTTTAATATCTGTAATTAATTCGATTTCCTTTGGTGAAAGTAGATAGTCCTTAATTCAGATTGTCAAATTTGGAGCATTAATGTCATCTTCAGGTGAAGTTAGGAATAAAAGACATGCTGGGTTTTGAGTCCCAGTTGAACACTTCTGACGAGGCGTAGAGTTATGTCTGATGGCAGCCCTTTTCTCACCAGCTCATCTTTAATCTGTAGAACACAATAGAAATAAGTGCGAGATGTAAAAAGATATATGATTATGACAATTGTACAGTCCTAAGTTATCTAAAATTGTTGGACACTGACAATACTTGAACCTGACTTTCAAAATAAGTTTGAATTGTTATTTTTATTTATGCATTCATTGCAAATGTAACACATATAATTAAACCTGAAAAATGTCCTGTAATGAAAGCCCATTTGTCAGAGAGTCCTTTACTCTGGGACAAATGGACAGGTTCTCAAAGTCTGTGGTTTGAAAATAAGCGTTCTCCCTGCAACTAACAGAAGCACACTGATAACAAGTATGCAAGAACTAGCTAAACAGATTTCAAATCTGAAAGGTCTAATGTGCAAAATAGTCATTATATACAGTCTTTGTTTAACTATTAGTAGAGAATAACGAGTAATGAATATACTTTATAGGGATCCTATTAATATCTAATAATAAAAATAATAAAATTCAATAACGTGCTTTAACCACTAGGTGTCCCTTTATATCAGCTGTGCACCGTTATGGTGTAAATACAGCCTCTCTACCAATTGGATCAAATATAAAAGTCAGCCGAATTAGTGTTGATACTGCAAGGAGACGCATTGTGTGAAAAGAAATGTAAGATGTTGTTTAATTGCTGATATATTTATGATCCACGTCACATTTTCAGTTTTGGCGGCAGTTCTTCCTGTTTGTCTAGAAGTCTTCTCATCAGGGCTCTATAAATAGAGAACTACGGCAGATATGTAATATTTAATGCAGCCGAACCGTGTATTACAAAGCCGTTATGTGATGACCTTCAAAGAGAAAAGCAAGCACACTCGGAATAAAGTATTATTTTATTTAAATGTTTTCCGATTTCACATCACATAAACACCATGTCCCAATGTGCATTGCGGCTAAACCATCCAATCAGCGAGCTGAGGATCTTGCCTAGTCTGTTTCCGGTAGGCTATTGTTTATGACAGGTGTATTTTGTTACACACACATTCCTTCACATTTAAAGTTAAATGTACCTTAAAGTATTTCGTGAGGCCTTCTAAAATGTTTTTAAATATAACTACTGTTCTAGTTGAAGAGTTTGTAAATTAACATGAACCGAAGCTGTTGCCTGGCAACGCAATCACAAAACGTCACGGCCGTTAATTCCTCATCCACACGCATGGATTAACATCGATTTAATACATTAATGTAGCCTTTGTTTCTGCTTAAAGAGGTGTCGACCAGCTGGGGCAAAGAAAATCAGCGAAATCGAGTGTGACTATTAAAAAATAAATCATTATTATATTAATATTGACAATAACAACCGACCGTCGGGGTAGCATTTGCTTGGCATTTCCGGGTATGTCTCCACTGGTTGGGCCATGTTAACAATACCGTGGAACTGTCACGTTTGAAGGGACGAAATCGTGACTTCTTCACGTCTCCCAACATGGAAAATCGTCACATGTTCACGTCTTGCCGTGATACAGGGTTGGTTTTTTGAGAACAAAAATTCGTAACTAATGCACCATAATACATTCTGACGAAAAATAAAAATGATTATGAATACAAATAAAATAAAAGAAGCCTTCCGTGAGTTACTACAAGCTATAAAGTAGATTTGAAAAACGTTTCATAGAATAAAAGCTCACTGCGGGACGTTGTAGAAATGCGTGTGTGCACCACGACAAAGGACCCTCAATCACTTTACATTGGGGTTGTTTCCGTGGTGCAGACACGTAAATGTAGCAGAGTCTGTGACTCCACCACGTACTGCGGTGTTAAGGAGTCGTGGTGGAGTCACGTATTCTGGTGAGACCAGGTTGTGCACTTTCATTCAGTGTAACGGCCAGGGCATTCCGTCAAGGATGTAGAATGACTTGGTTGAAGCGTATTCTACCCAGAGACCCAGAACAATATCTGATTGGTTGCATTTCTTTTCTAACACAAAACCACTCAAATGCGTAGTGCATGGACAGAGAAAGACAAACAAATCAACGTAACACTGTGATATTACAGACATTAGGAAACTTTAAATTGATGCTTTGACATGAGCTAATTTCTGAGTAGACAATAAGAGGCTGACCTGTTGTATGATGGTACTCCTGATGAAGTCTTCAGACAGTGGAGACGCAGAGGAAATCTTGATTCTCATAGCTACAACACCTAGAAGAACAGTGACTTGACATTACAATGCAGGCCAGAAGAGTGCTGAAACACTAATATGCATAGAGAACCTCAACTGCGATTGTTCTTATTTAACTATGTGCATTAAGAGATACAGAGGTGGACCAAATTGTATTTGTACTGCAATTTGGTTTCCCGTTTACCATCCTGCAGTTTTGTATGCAAGACATAGTTTAAAACGTCACCATTTGTCATATTCACCTTGTTTTGTAGGTTTCCCCGTTGTTGGAGCAGCAGTAGTTGAAGGTGCTGCTGTTGTTGTTGCAACAGTAGTAGGTGCTGCTGTTGTAGGTTTAGCAGTTGTAGGTTGCCCCGTTGTCGGAGCAGCAGTAGTTGTAGATGCTGCTGTTGTTGTTGCAACAGTAGTAGATGCTGCTGTTGTTGTAGGTTTAGCAGTTGTAGGTTGCCCCGTTGTCTGAGCAGCAGTAGTTGTAGGTGAAGCAGTTGTTGTTGCAACAGTAGTAGGTGCTGCTGTCGTAGGTGAAGCAGTTGTTGTAGGTTGCACCGTTGTCAGAGTAGCAGTAGTTGTAGGTGCAGCAGTTGTTGTTGCAACAGTAGTAGGTGGTGCTGTTGTAGGTGTAGCAGTTGTTGTAGGTAGCACCGTTGTCAGAGCAGCAGTAGTTGTAGGTGCTGTTGTTGTTGTTTCAACAGTAGTAGGTGGTGCTGTTGTAGGTGAAGCAGTTGTTGTAGGTTGCACCGTTGTCAGAGTAGCAGTAGTTGTAGGTGCAGCAGTTGTTGTTGCAACAGTAGTAGGTGCTGCAGTTGTAGGTGTAGCAGTTGTTGTAGGTTGCACCGTTGTCTGAGCAGCAGTAGTTGTAGGTGCTGCTGTTGTTGTTGCAACAGTAGTAGGTGCTGCTGTTGTAGATGCAGCAGTAGTTGTAGGTGGCACCGTTGTCAGAGCAGCAGTAGTTGTAGGTGAAGCAGTAGTTGTAGGTGCTGCTGTTGTTGTTGCAACAGTAGTAGGTGCTGCTGTTGTAGGTGAAGCAGTTGTTGTAGGTGGCACCGTTGTCAGAGCAGCAGTAGTTGTAGGTGCTGTTGTTGTTGTTTCAACAGTAGTAGGTGGTGCTGTTGTAGGTGTAGCTGTAGTTGTAGGTTGCACCGTTGTCTGAGCAGCAGTAGTTGTAGGTGCTGCTGTTGTTGTTGCAACAGTAGTAGGTGCTGCTGTTGTAGGTGTAGCAGTAGTTGTAGGTTGCACCGTTGTCTGAGCAGCAGTAGTTGTAGGTGCTGCTGTTGTTGTTGCAACAGTAGTAGGTGCTGCTGTTGTAGATGCAGCAGTAGTTGTAGGTAGCACCGTTGTCTGAGCAGCAGTAGTTGTAGATGCTGCTGTTGTTGTTGCAACAGTAGTAGGTGGTGCTGTTGTAGGTGTAGCAGTTGTGGTAGGTGCTGCTGTTGTTGTTGCAACAGTAGTAGGTGCTGCTGTTGTAGGTGAAGCAGTTGTTGTAGGTGGCACCGTTGTCAGAGCAGCAGTAGTTGTAGATGCTGCTGTTGTTGTTTCAACAGTAGTAGGTGGTGCTGTTGTAGGTGAAGCAGTTGTTGTAGGTTGCACCGTTGTCAGAGCAGCAGTAGTTGTAGATGCTGCTGTTGTTGTTTCAACAGTAGTAGGTGGTGCTGTTGTAGGTGAAGCAGTTGTTGTAGGTTGCACCGTTGTCAGAGTAGCAGTAGTTGTAGGTGCAGCAGTTGTTGTTGCAACAGTAGTAGGTGGTGCTGTTGTAGGTGTAGCAGTTGTTGTAGGTAGCACCGTTGTCTGAGCAGCAGTAGTTGTAGGTGCTGTTGTTGTTGTTTCAACAGTAGTAGGTGGTGCTGTTGTAGGTGAAGCAGTTGTTGTAGGTTGCACCGTTGTCAGAGTAGCAGTAGTTGTAGGTGCAGCAGTTGTTGTTGCAACAGTAGTAGGTGGTGCTGTTGTAGGTGTAGCAGTTGTTGTAGGTAGCACCGTTGTCTGAGCAGCAGTAGTTGTAGGTGCTGCTGTTGTTGTTGCAACAGTAGTAGGTGCTGCTGTTGTAGGTGAAGCAGTTGTTGTAGGTAGCACCGTTGTCTGAGCAGCAGTAGTTGTAGATGCTGCTGTTGTTGTTGCAACAGTAGTAGGTGATGCTGTTGTAGGTGTAGCAGTTGTGGTAGGTGCTGCTGTTGTTTGTTGCAACAGTAGTAGGTGCTGCTGTTGTAGGTGAAGCAGTTGTTGTAGGTGGCACCGTTGTCAGAGCAGCAGTAGTTGTAGGTGAAGCAGTAGTTGTAGGTACTGCTGTTGTTGTTGCAACAGTAGTAGGTGGTGCTGTTGTAGGTGTAGCAGTTGTTGTAGGTTGCAACGTTGTTGTTGGAACAGCAGTAGTTGAAGGTGCTGCTGTTGTTGTTGCAACAGTAGTAGGGGCTGCAGTTGTAGGTGAAGCAGTTGTTGTAGGTGGCACCGTTGTCAGAGCAGCAGTAGTTGTAGGTGAAGCAGTAGTTGTAGGTACTGCTGTTGTTGTTGCAACAGTAGTAGGTGGTGCTGTTGTAGGTGTAGCAGTTGTTGTAGGTTGCAACGTTGTTGTTGGAACAGCAGTAGTTGAAGGTGCTGCTGTTGTTGTTGCAACAGTAGTAGGGGCTGCTGTTGTAGGTGAAGCAGTTGTTGTAGGTTGCAACGTTGTTGTTGGAACAGCAGTAGTTGAAGGTGCTGCTGTTGTTGTTGCAACAGTAGTAGGGGCTGCAGTTGTAGGTGAAGCAGTTGTTGTAGGTGGCACCGTTGTCAGAGCAGCAGTAGTTGTAGGTGCTGCTGTTGTTGTTGCAACAGTAGTAGGGGCTGCAGTTGTTGGTGTAGCAGTTGTTGTAGGTTGCACCGTTGTCAGAGCAGCAGTTGTTGTAGGTGGCACCGTTGTCTGAGCAGCAGTAGTTGTAGGTGCTGCTGTTATTGTTGCAACAGTAGTAGGTGCTGCTGTTGTAGGTGAAGCAGTTGTTGTAGGTTGCACCGTTGTCAGAGCAGCAGTAGTTGTAGGTGCTGCTGTTGTTGTTGCAACAGTAGTAGGTGCTGCTGTTGTAGGTGTAGCGGTTGTTGTAGGTGGCACCGTTGTCAGAGCAGCAGTAGTTGTAGGTGCTGCTGTTGTTGTTGCAACAGTAGTAGGTGCTGCTGTTGTAGGTGTAGCAGTTGTTGTAGGTTGCACCGTTGTCTGAGTAGCAGTTGTTGTAGGTGGCACCGTTGTCTGAGCAGCAGTAGTTGTAGGTGAAGCAGTTGTTGTAGGTTGCACCGTTGTCAGAGCAGCAGTAGTTGTAGGTGCTGCTGTTGTTGTTGCAACAGTCGTAGGTGCTGCTGTTGTAGGTGTAGCAGTTGTTGTAGGTGGCACCGTTGTCAGAGCAGCAGTAGTTGTAGGTGCTGCTGTTGTTGTTGCAACAGTAGTAGGTGCTGCTGTTGTAGGTGTAGCTGTAGTTGTAGGTTGCACCGTTGTCAGAGCAGCAGTAGTTGTAGGTGCTGCTGTTGTTGTTGCAACAGTAGTAGGTGCTGCTGTTGTAGGTTTAGCAGTTGTAGGTTGCCCCGTTGTCGGAGCAGCAGTTGTTGTAGGTTGCACCGTTGTCAGAGCAGCAGTAGTTGTAGGTACTGCTGTTGTTGTTACAACAGTAGTAGGTGCTGCTGTCGTAGGTGAAGCAGTTGTTGTAGGTGGCACCGTTGTCTGGGCAGCAGTAGTAGGTGCTGCTGTTGAATATGAAGCAGTAGTTGTAGGTGCTGCTGTTGTTGTTGCAACAATAGTAGGGACTGCAGTTGTAGGCAGAGATGGGGTCGTAAAAAAGTAGTAAATTACGTATGACTTATTGCTTTAAAAAAAAAAAGCAATATATTATTTTACTTTGTCACTCTCTACATCAGTGGTTCTCAAAGGGGCGCAGAGGCATGACAGGGGGGCGCGAGAGACCAGGAGGAAAAATGGTTATTAAAAAAAAAAAAAAAAATCATATTTTGAAAAATTATTGATTCGAAAGTAATATGATACAGTACAGTACTATTACGTCTGGGTCTCCGTGTTTCATTAAAGCTCCGCTCTGTGTGTGTGTGTGTGTGTGGAACGAGCCATTTTGTGTGTGTGCGTGAGCGAGAGAGAGAGAGAGAGCGCACCGGTACCGGAGATCGTTGTTGTTAGCTTCTGGTGCTAGCGAGCTACGCTAACGGATATAAGGAGTTTTTTCAACAACAAAGTGGAGGAGAGTCCTCTCCTGTCAGACTGAGAGACTCAGTGAGCTAAAGGACTCTCTCAGTGTTATCTCAGTGGGTCTCAAACGTTTTGGTCACCATTAATGTAAACAATTATTTCCGAGGCACACGTTTATATGATCATTATAGTTATAAAAAAATAAGAGAATAAATGAAAAACAGGTATGAAATACTATATGGCAGTAAAACAAGAATAACGTTTAAAAGGGTGATTTGTAAAATATCCATAAAGAAAAAGTCAATCTGTTTACAGTTCTGTTTCAAATGGGTGTTGAGAGATGTATCCATAGATCTCTTCATTTTGCTCTCAAAGTGCACCAGATTGATGCTTTTAACTTCAATATTTAAAAATAAATCTTCCCGGGGGAGCTTGCCCCCGGACCCCCCTATGTGAGGTCCACACACCACCTATAAAAATAGCACTTTACCCCTGCTTACACCTATATGCCGTGAGCTGATTATCGAGCCTTCATTGTAACTGTCGTGGGGACATTGTGTATGTGCGTGGGGAGTGTTGCAGTAATAATAATAATAATAATAATAATACATTCGATTTATAAAGCACCTTTCATTGCTCACAGCAATCCCAAGGTGCTACAGGAGGCATAATAAAAACAAACAAAATAAACAAAAGTTTAATGAAAAGCTTTAAAGTAGAAAGTTCCACTGTAGTTCCACTGTAGCGCCCGGTACATTCATGGGAAACCCTAAATGTTTGAGCACCCTGAAACGTCAAGCTACCCCACAGCACCCCAAAATAAATCTCTGGCGCCGTCACTGAGCCTGACTATTTGTGTTGGGGGGGCCCGACTTTTTTTTTTCTCCAAAGGGGGGGCCTGACAGAAAAAGTTTGAGAACCACTGCTCTACATGAAGTAACTCGTTACTTTACTCGTTACTTTACTCATTTCTTTACATTACTTTTGCATTACTCAGCAACAGCCCATAGCCAAAACATAAAACTTAGGCCAACAGAAACATATACTCGTCTCATGCATGTATAGAAAGCCTGGAAGTAATCTTGAGGAATTTAATGAACAAGTAGAAAAAATGCTCAGACCTCATAGAAATAAAAACCTTTATGTGTGTGGAGATTTCAACATTAATTTATCAAAATACAACTCGCTCCAACAGGCGAGACACTTCATGGATATGTTTTTTCTCTCTCAGGCTTCTCCCTCTAATAACCAAACCAACCAGGTTAACTAGCACTACTGAAACGTTAATCGATAACATTTTCACTAACGTCCTTGAAACGGACCATCATAGTGGGGCCCTCATCACTGATGTCAGTGATCACCTGCCAATATTCACAATTTGCGGAAAATAACCTGTAAATAACAAAGAACAAAAGACATACATAACTAAGCGGACATTAAATGACAGTGCTCTAAATAAATTAAATATTAACTTAAAAAATGAGAAATGGCAAGAAGTATTTGAGATTCAAGATGTAAACAAATCCTATAATGACTTTGTAAGGATTCTCATGCAAAACATGAACGAATGTTGTCCATCTATTAAAATGAAGATTGGCAACAGCAATAATAATGACTCAAAACCCTGGTTCACTCGTGGACTGAAAAACGCTTGCTGTAAGACAAATGCACTCTATAGGACATTTTTGAAAAGTAAAAGCACTGAAGATGAAAGCCGTTATAAATTGTATAAAAACAAATTGATTACAATCCTTAGAAACTGTGAAAAACGATACTTCTCTGAAAAATTAGAAAATGCCATAGGAGATATGAAAACCACTTGAAAGGTAATAAATAGCATAATTAAGAAGAAAATAACTGACAACAGAAATGAATTCAAGAAATTCCAAACCGAAGGAAAAACCCCAACGGATGTTGCAAATAGCTTTAATGAGTTCTTTACTGAAAGTGGCTCCAACCTGGCGAGTGACATCAGCCCAGCTTCATCTAAAGTGGATGGTTTTCTGAAAAACTGCAACCAACAGAGTATGTTCCTGAACCCAATTACAGAAAATGAACTGCTTGATATTGTTAATCCTCAACAGAGTAAACAGTCCAAAGATTATCTAGGACTTAGTATGAATATTGTTAAACAAGTTGCTCCAAACATTGTAGCCCCCCTAGTAAATATATGCAATAAATCGTTCCAACAAGGTATTTTCCCCAATGAAATGAAAATCGCGAAGGTGATTCCGGTTTTCAAATCTGGTGATAAATCATCCATCCGTCCATCCATCTTCTCCCGCTTATCCGTGGTCGGGTCGCGGGGGTAGCAGTTAAGCAGAGAGCCCCAAACTTTCTTTTCCCTGGCGACATCAACCAGCTCTGACTGGGGGATCCCAAGGCGCTCCCAGGCCAGAGAAGATATATAATTCCTCCACCTGGTCCTAGGTCTACCCCTTGGTCTCTTCCCAGCTGGACGTGCCTGGAACACCTCCCTAGGGAGGCGCCCAGGTGGCATCCTAACTAGGTGCCCGAACCACCTCAACTGGCTCCTTTCGACGCGAAGGAGGAGCGGCTCAACTCCGAGTCCCTCCCTGATGACCGAACTTCTCACCTTATCCCTAAGGGAGACGCCAGCCACCCTGCGGAGAAAACCCATCTCGGTCGCTTGTATCCGCGATCTCGTTCTTTCGGTCATGACCCATCCTTCATGATCATAGGTGAGTTTAGGAACGAAAATGGCCCGGTAGACAGAGAGCTTTGCCTTCTGGCTCAGCTCCCTTTTCGTCACAACGGTGCGGTAAAGCGACTGCAGTACCGCTCCCGCTGCTCCGATTCTCCGGCCCATCTCACGCTCCATTGTTCCCTCACTCGAGAACAAGATCCCAAGATACTTGAACTCCTTCACTTGGGGTAAGGACTCATTCCCTACTTGGAGTAGACAGTCCATCGGTTTCCTGCTGAGAACCATGGCCTCAGATTTTGAGGTGCTGATCCTCATCCCAGCCGGTGATAAATCAAGTTTTAATAATTATAGACCGATTTCTTTACTACCACAATTCTCAAGAATCCTGGAAAAACTCTTTAACAACCGTCTGGAGTCATTCCTCCGCAAATGTAATATTACATTTGCTTGATTTCAGAAAAATCACTCCACTTCTTCAGCAGTAATTGAACTGGTTGAAGAAATTACCAACAACATTGAGAAACAAATGATTACAGCTGGTATATTCATTGACCTTAAAAAGGCTTTTGATACTGTGAACCATACCATTCTGCTACACAAATTAGAACATTACGGCATAAGGGGTCAAGCCAAAGAATGGGTCAAGAGTTATCTGATAAATAGGCTACAATATGTGGACATAGACGAGGCAAAATCAAACAATCTTCCTATAACATGTGGAGTCCCTCAAGGATCAATGTTAGGTCCAAAACTGTTCCTGATTTATATTAATGACATAATCAACACCTCAGACATGTTAAAATTCATTTTGTTTGCCGATGATACCATCATTCTCTGCTCCCATCATAATCTTGGTGATCTTGTTAAAATTGTTAATGCAGAATTAGAAATACTATGTAACTTATTTGCAGTTAATAAATTATCCCTGGCCAAAACAAATGACATGTTATTCAATACAAAGTCTGAGAGTAGAAATGACTGTATTATACGGATTTGCAATACTGAGATAGAGAACGTTGGTGCATGTACATTTTTAGGACTCATTGTTGATGAAAAACTTAACTGGAAGCACCATATAAATTATGTACAGACTAAACTGTCAAAAACAATAGGTATTTTGTATCGTACTAAGAACATTCTCAAGGAAAAAATACTCAGAACTCTTTATAACAGTCTATTTCTCCCTTACCTTTATTACTGCTCCGAAATATGGGGAAACACGTACGCAACAAATCTACAAAAAATAATAATATCTCAAAACAAATAGTCTGTGGTGTTGGTAAATATGAACACACAACTCCCATATTTAAAAAACTCAATCTATTCAAATGTGTTGATATAGTTAAGCTTAAAACAGTACTGATTATGCACAACATTTACCATAACAAAATGCTTACTAACATTCAAAAGCAGTTCCAAACCACAATCAGGAAATACCCAACCAGGCATCCTAACTGGTTGGACAACAACAACCATCAAATCACACAGCTGATCCATAATCGGAGTTAGAACGTGGAATGGACTTCACCCAGACCTCTCAAGTATTACTAGTCATCAACAATTCAATACTTAAGTAAAAACAATTCTATTTGCAGATTACTCCAGCTAACAAGTATTGGATATTCCCAGTATTATTTATATATGCATTTACTTTTTTCTTGCCCCAGTTTTCATTAGTTTTCTTTATTTCTTTGTACTCCTTAATTTCTATACGTTTTTAACATGTAATGTATAAAGGTCCATCTGTGCTTTGGTTACCGGTCCAAATTGCTGCTGTCGTAGGTGAAGCAGTAGTTGTAGGTTGCACCGTTGTCGCAGCAGCAGTAGTTGGAGCTTCTGTAGTAGGAATGCTGGTTGTGGGTGCTGCTGTTGTTGGTCCTACAGTCATTGATGCTGCTGTTCTAGTAGCTTAAAGGTCACCTATCATGCTGTTTTATGCAATAGCATAGGTCTCAGATTTATAAAAATATATGAAAAACATGTCTATGAAGTGTTTTGCTCAAAATACCAAACAGATCACCCATTCTAGCCATGCCTCATATCCCTCTATTTCACTTCCTGTTTCAAAAGTGCTGATTTTGTGTATAAAGCTTTAAAAAAAAAAGGGGGGGGGGGTCTGAGCTCATGCGGGACCCGGCAGCTACTGTCTAAACTAAATACTGCCGTGATGAAACGCCATATCATGGATCATCAAGGATTGTCTCTGAAACAGTCTGGAGCTCAAAGGCTTTCTCTCTTGCCGGTTATACCACAAGGTGAGTTCCTTTTTACTTCCTGCTTCTTCACACACATGCTCTCCAGCACAGGTTAGCTCTGAGTGTTAGCGATGCTAATGTAAACACCGACCATATTACGTCCAAAACAGTCGGGCATTGTTTCTGATAGCAACGTTTCTGATTGGGCCGTGGGTCCACATTTCAGATATTACGTCATATGGGACGCAAATCTGGATCAGCTCCGTTGTTCCCCGTTTTTAGAGATTTGGGTACGGAGGAAAAGAGAGAGGGGTTTATTTTCTGACGCTGCGTGAGTTCCCTGACACACCGGGGACACATGTTGATGTATAAAAGACATCAAAAAGTGCATTTTGCATGATAGGTCCCCTAACTTTTTGTGCTAATAGTGTTACAAAGTGAATAATTTACTCATCACCGCTTACCTGTTATAATCAGGAAAACTGTTATGATCCGGCCGACACCCATCCTGTCTGCCTTTGGATCTATAAAATCAAACAACACAGATACTCCATATTAATTTTTGAGACGCATTTATTTCCATTATGCTCAAATGCGAGAACGACGCAGTCTCCCAATTGTTTTTTTCTGGGCGTAACCTTGCAGTCCAAAGGTAAAATCACTTTATGAACGTCGCAGCGCACGCAGATTCTCATGTGATGAGTAACGACCAATCATAGCAACAAGTTCCTTTATTTCTGAAATATTAGTATACAGCAAATATTGAGGAGAAGTTGTTTAATCTAGAGGGGGGCTGCGGTGGAATTGTCCATTTTGCTTAGGAAGGTTTCTAACTGAGGAAATTATGCAGAAGTGGAAGCCACAATAACAGCTGTTTCAATTAGATAATAAGTAAAGGAGCATCAGTTGTCCTTTATTAAATCATTTAGCTTAGGATACACTCCACCATCCTTTACTATAGATATAGATATATTTATTTGCGAGTTGCATATGAACTCCCGTAGCACTGGCGTTATAGATGTTCGCCTAGGGCACCAGATATGGGGAGTCGCTGCGCTGGCAGCTCTGGGAGGGAAAAAAACATTTTTGACCGTTGGGGCTCATCCTAATTTTCGGCCTTGATGTAACAACATTCATAATTAAGTAAATGTAACACCCTTTTCACCCCGGTTACAGGTTTCATTTGCCCTGTACACAGTGGCGGCGGGTCATTAGGGGCAGGTGGGGCACAGCCCCACCTAGTGTCAGAAGAAAGTATTACAAATAATGATTACAAAAAAATACAAAAAAATAAATAAAAAAACATATAAAATATATTTTAAGGTCATGTTTAATAATCTGATTCGTCTGTACATTTCTGTTTTAGTCTGTGTTCTTCTAATTAGTGTCTAGAGTGCCGTTTTGAGCTGTTTAGAGCCATGTGGGACAAAACCCGATCCTGCCCCTCCCTCTCACAGTCTAAGTGAACGGTGATTGTAAAAACTACACTGCGCATGCTCAGAGTATTTTTCTATTTAATGTGTGTGGCAAACAAATAATGACCGTAGGGGCATAGTGCTCCCATCCCCACCATACGTCATCTCACATAATTCAGAATTGATTGGCTGTAAGTACTCACGTGTGCAGTGCTGCGAAACGTCACGTGTAGTTTGAAGAGGAGACGAGAGAGCAGCATATAGCTAACATCACCAGCGATTAAAAGAAGTAAAAAAACTGAAAGAAAATGAATGAAGTTGACCATTTACTGGAGCACACATTTGAGACACTTAGTCTCGGAGAGAAACTGGAGGTAAAGCGCCTCGGTGCCCACCATCCACCGGATTTCCAAATGGTCCAGACTGCGGGCAAAGGTTAAACGTGGGTTTAACGCTGAGTGGTTTGCTAAAAAGAAATGGCTAACGGCGAGCATCCAGAAGAATTCCCTCTTTTGCTTTCCTTGCCTGCTTTTTGGTGAAGATCAAGGTACTTGGTCGAGGACAGGTTACAAGGACTTAAAGCATCTTTCGGAGAGGACAATGAAGCATGAGAGCAGCAACAGTCATTTGGAAAATGCCGTAAAATTGGGATTACTTGGAAGGGTGAATGTTGCAGCTCAGATTGACAGCGCCTACAGACGCGGCATTGATTCTCATAATAGGAAGGTGGAAGAAAACAGGTACGTGCTTGGTCGGATCATCACCTGTATTAAACTGTGTGGGAAATGTGAGACAGCACTGCGGGGCCACAACGAGTCGGCGGACTCTCTGAATCCAGGGATATTCAGGTCAATTTTCGAGACAATGTGTGAGGGCGATTCCAGGCTTCAACGGCACTACGAAGCTCAGCTTGTTTTCAAAGGGACATCAAGCACCATACAGAATGAACTCTTGGACTGCATGTATGATGTGTACAGGGAGGAAATAGCCAAGCAAGTGGACAACACATCATTTGTTGCCGTTCAGGGCCGACGAGACAACCGATGTCTCCTGTAAATCGCAAATGGTGATTGTGCTGCGATACATTATGCCTGACCTCACAGTTACAGAGCGTTTTTTGGAGTTTGTGGAAGTAAAGGACAAAACTGGTGTAGGTCTCTCTAACAGCATCAAGGGCTGTTCTGGAACCCCTGAAGCTGAAAGAAAAGCTAATCGCTCAGACCTATGACGGGGCGGCCGTCATGAGCGTAACGTGCGCGGGGGTACAGACTGTGATGAAGGAGACGTACCCAAACGCTCAGTTTGTTCACTGCTACGCCCACCAACTGAACCTGACCCTGCAGCAACTGTGTTCAGCAAGGATGAGCATCCTGAAGGTGTTTTTTGCAGATCTAACTGCTTTTTCCACTTTTTTTCTCCGGTGCTCCAAAACGTGTTGCAGCTCTTGCAGAGGCAACACAGAGACGCATCCCACGGCCACCGGCTGTGAGATGGAACTTTAAAAGCAGAACTGTGAACGCGGTTTGGGAGACCCGAGATGCACTACTTCAGTGTATGAAGCATATACGCGCACAACCAGGATGGGATGCGGTCACCATAAGTGAGGCATACGGCCTGTCAAAGAAACTGCGGGACCGAGCATTTATGCAGCTCCTGGAGTTTTTTTTCGTTGCTTATGCCAGAAGTGGATGTTCTATACAACACTCTGCAAAAACGAAGCATCGATGCACCTGGGATCAACAGCGCGCTCTGCCGTTTCAAGGAAAATGTTCAGAAAATGAGGCAGAAAACTGATGCATTGGCCGCCACTTGCTCATGATGGAACAGACGAGCCAGGCCGACGAGTCAGCAGCACAGCGCCGGTGATGAAGGAGGCTTGTGACACAGTCATCTCACAGGTAGAACAGAGGTTCTCACAGAGTGACCATTTGATCGCTGCAAAGCTTGTTGACAGCTCATTCTTCCCACAGCATGTCCTGTCATTTCCTACACCTGAGCTTGACTGCGCCGTGAAACTGGCCTGCGTTGGGAAACAAGGAGAAGTTGAAGTCTGAGCTGACCACGCTCTACCGCCACAGTGAGCTTCACACTGGAAACACTGCCCTGTCCTCTGTTGAAATCCATTCACGAGAACAACTTGGAGGAAACGTTTGCTGAGACTGTTATTTTGGTCAAAATAATAGTGACAACTCCGATGACGACATCCGAGTCAGAGAGGAACTTTTCCACCCTCAAAAGGATAAAGACTTTCACTCGCAACACCATGGGACAGCCGCGACTTAACGCATTGGCCATGCTTTCAATTGAAAGCCAGTTGATCCAGCAACTACAGGACTTCATCCCCAAAGTGATAGACACATTCTGTCAGAGGAAGGACCGCCGTGCCGCTTTTCTTTCAAGTGAGCCTTCAGCTTTGGTAGTTCATTTATGTCATATATTTTGTTGATCTTCTGTGTTTTGCCTCTGCTGGATCGATTGATATTGTGACCTCGATGATGAGTGTCTGTGTTTTCCTTATATTTACAGTCTATGGTGTTTTAATGCTAAAGCATTACGGTTGTTGTTATTGTTAAGAATTACTTTGTGATGGTGACCTTTACTCCATGTATGAAGGTGCATTACTATGACATCCCCACGCTGTGTACGTAAATGTATGCGCTCACAGTGTTGCTCCTGTGGTCTTCAGTATGTAATTTGACACTCCCCCTCTCTCTCTCCTCCCCCCCTCTCTCTGTCCCCCCTCTCTCTCTCCTCCCTCTCTCTGTCCCCCCCCCCTCTCTCTCTCTCTCCCCCGACCTCTTTCTGCCCCCCCAGTTTTGTACACCTAGAAACGCCACTGCCTGTACAATGGGCGCTGTAAGTGATGAAAATGGGGGATGTTGGCGTATCTGGCGTTCGCAGCTCACAGCCAAAATGCGAGTGAGCGAGGGAGAGAGAGAAGGGCGCACCGCCCGGTTCCGGCGCTCCGACACATATTTTCAAGGCACTCCTTTATAATTATTGGGATAAACAGGTTTGAAATAATTCCAATGTATACTATAGGACAGTAAACTAAAAATATCCTTTACTAAAGGTAAGGGAGAGAGAGAGAGAGAGGAGAGAGGAGAGAGAGAGAGAGAGAGAGAGAGAGAGAGAGAGAGAGAGAGAGAGAGAGAGAGAGAGAGAGAGAGAGAGAGAGAGAGAGAGAGAGAGAGAGAGAGAGAGAGAGAGAGAGAGACACGTTTTTCACGCATCTTGATAAATAGCACATGGAAAAAATCGGTTAATTCTCATCTGCCTAGTCGCCATTAAAAACTCATCATGTCCGGTTTATAGTTACTTCTGTCAAAACACATTAAGTCGTTCAAACTATTGCATCTGTAAGTTACATTATCCATTATAGAAGTACTTTTAGTCTGTATAACCCACATTTGTTGATTTCTGCTGAAGTATGTGAATCTAAGTTGCCTTTTATTTCTTAAATTGACCATTATCATACAAGAAGCATTTCGCTACTGTAGTTGTTCTTTCTTGATTAAACCCCACATAAATAATTATAATACCTCCTCAACAGAAAATCCACTCTCACAACAATTCCAATTGTAGTTAATAATCTCCAGAATTATATATAGACTTAAAAATGTACTTACCCCCGATGAGGTTAGAAATGCCCTCTTTCTGTTCACTTTTAATGTGTTCAAATATTCCACTGTCTTTTAATCAAGTCAATTCCACAAATATGAAAGAGGAAACCTTTCACTCCATGGGACACGCCACATCTATTGATGCATTTAGATTACAATGGAATAATGGATGTTGACGTGAATGATAGGACATTCAATTTTCAGAAAAGTTGTCACACCTTAAAGGTTCCATGACATGCTTTTCCGGTTATTACCCGCCCCCTTGTGTGTTATGCAGCTTTATTTTTATCGTTTATTTGGCAGGGACATTGCATATTAATGAACACTTAAAACAAAAAAATGCATCAAGCGTAAATATGCCGGATTTTAGCTTTGATCTAATCGCGGATCTCCACACAGCCGCTCAGGCTGTGTGGAGATCATTTTCTGGTTGCTAACAAACGCCATTGTTACCAGGGTTCGAGTTATGTGGGAGCCAAAAAACAAGTTTTACAAATGCCTTATAATTCACTAATCACAAACACAGTGTGGTTTGCAAATACAAAACACCATCTACAAACTAATGCATTTAGTTTTGCAAATAAAAAACGTGTCTATCAAACAAACACATTACATTTTTCTGATAAATCATGTTTCAGAGACAAATTCAGCATAGGCTTTACAAGTACAAAACTTGTTCCTCTCACGTCACGGAATATTACTGCCAAAAGTCACCTGAGTCACGTTGTTTGTTCGTGAATCATAAGGCATTTAAAAAAATGCAAATTAGGCGTTAAAGGTGGGGTAGGTAATTTTGGAGAAACTGGCTAGAATTTGAAAATACACAGCCGGAAGAAATCTGCCACTTCCTTACAGAGCCCCTCCTCCAACACACACGAACGCGCACATGACCAATGAGGGCACGAGATCAGTTTGTGCCCAGATGGAAGGCTGACAGGCAGGTAGGCCATCCAGTTACTTTAGCCGGCTCAGATGATTGGTCGTGCTTTTTACAGTACTACGGCTTCCACAGATGATATTTATTAATGGGTTTTTTGTCAAAGCACTTCAGATATTCAGCTATCGGGATGTTAAGAGCATTCCATGGAATATAATATATATATATATATATATATAATATATAACAACAAGTGTATCTCAAGCCGGTTTCACAAACTTACCCCACCTTTAACTATATAATTAAATTGCGCTAATGTGCCTGCAGTTACCAAGGCATTGCAGGTGAGTCACGTTGTTTGTTAGTGAATCATAAGGCATTTATAAAACTTGTTTAGTTTGTTTGTGGAGTTATGGCAGGAAATGAGGAGCTGCTACCTGTCTGTCTGCAGTGACTGCCGATGTCCGCACCGCTATGATATTGTCATAATGAATGCATATTATTACCATAGTGTTTGTAAAAGTATTACACTCCTAGAATTAATGTCGTTTTTTTTAACACACTGCTGTGTCAAAGGCAATTCAACACATTCAGTGTAATTTCTGAACTATTTTACACACATGTGTGTACCATAGGCTGTATATATAAATGGACGTAGGGTCCGTGACGTCACCCATAGGATTCTGCAGAGTAGCCGTGAAGCCCTTAGTAGGTGGAGTCGGCCACTAACGGCTCGACTGTGACGTCAGAGTCTAATCCCGCCTGCTCCAAATAAGGGCAAAGAGGCGGAGCCGAGGCGGGACCTGCTGCCTCCGAACTGGAAGTAAACAGAGCTAGCTCAGGCTAAGAAGCTATAAGCTAACATGACATACATGCATACCAAGTTACTGCTAACAGTGTAGTTCCCCTATATAAACGTTACATTCATAATCAAGACAAGACAATCTGCAAGAGAATTAGCTATATTTTGTTATTCTTAATGCTTGTCATTCACACGTTGAGAAAAGACGGACTCCACCGCCCGGACCTAACGGAGCCGCAGTGGGCTAGCTCCGGGACGCCGGCTGGAGCTCGCCCCCTGCGGCTCCGTTAGCTCCGGCGGCCACCACTGGGATAATTGGGTCCCCTATTAACATTTGCTCTAGTTTAGCATTATGGGCGTCATAGCCATAGACTATAAAAGTCTTACCCAAGGCTGAATCATAAACTAAAATGTATATGTATGCATAAAGGGTTACGTCCTTAGCTGGCTAATAAGTAACAAGCTAAGCTACCAAGCACACAAACACCTGCGAACGGGGTTAACATGTATAATATTATCATTTTAGACTTCTTGGAAGTTCTGTTAGTACATTGAAGTGCACAGCACGACATTTTAATTGTCTGGTATTTGTAACAATATTCCCGAAAAGGCACAATCACCACAAACACGGTTAAAAGCTAAAGGGTCAAGTACAGTACTATGACTAACTTCTCCTATGGTTGTAGCCTAGCAGAGTGGAGAAGTTGCTGTTAGCTGACAGTGAGGCATGTACGTGTCCATCAAAGTGACCACGCCCTAATTTATGCAAAAACTTTAAGATCTAATATAAATAAAAGGGTCGTGTTAGAAAACAATTCACTCACAGATTCATAATCAAAAAGGTGGAATCTAACTATATCGATAATAATATTTATTGCATCCATGGGTAGAAACATGTTTTTTACTGCTGTAAAGTTGGGCATTTTAACATGGGGGTCTATGGAAATTGCTCCTTTCTGCAGCCAGTCCTTAGCGGCCCATGTATGAACTGCAGTGTGTGGCACTTCCATATTGGCGTCCCGGCTGTTCCCCAGAGTTTGCCGCTTGGTGTGTTCGTAGAAAAAATTAAAATGCACATAGTCAACACATTAGTTTTGACTAACACTGGGCTAACATTGGGCACTGTCATTGGGCACTGTCCTGCCCAATCACGGTTCAGTTATTTCAAATGTATCATTTTTCAACTGTCCATCAAATGTCCCAACTGCCATTTCACCTCTGGCTGCTGTGGAGGATGGATGTCAGCGGAGGAGAGTCTAACTCTAGGTAAGTTACAGAAACAAAACGTTTTTAACAAAGTGAGCAGATATATTGTCATAATGTGAGCAAGCTAGGGGTCTAAATACATATTTTTAAACTTAAACAAATATGTTTTGCCAATGTTGAACAGCTAACTATTGTTTGAGTTTAGCTGCCTGGATGACAATTATTTTCCTTTAAGCCGTTCTTCTTTTTTATTATATTTATTTGATCTTAACTTAATGTTACACTCTTTTCTGTGACCATCATTCTTCAATCGGCATTATATTGATAGCATTAGCAGCTATATGTTTAATGCAATCTAGCTACTTTGGATAGGTTTAATTGTTCGGCCAGATGTGGCGGGAAAGTGCGAGTGAGAAGACCGACAGAGGCTGCGTTGATATACAGTCTCTTACAGTGCAAATACGTAACTTACTCGCACTAAAGTTATTAGTAGTACGTGTACACTACAGTTTACTTGTTTCTGACTAAAACATCAGCCACTACTCTATACTTGCAAATATTATATTGTGTAGAAGGGAGATTTCATATCTGCCTCTTGTCGCTAAGGCAACTTGTGTATGTGAGATGCAGCGTCACGCACGGCACGGCACGTTAGGCCTTCCCTTCCGATTATTTGATTGGTCGGAAGGGAAGGGCCGGCGGGCTTTCCTTCCGACCAATCCAATCGTTGGGAGGGAAGGCCGGCGGGCTTTCCTTGACATGTCCCTGACACAGCGGACTGCGGGTGTAGTATAGAGTGAGTGTAGCGTGCAATACTGTGTTTCACCACACATTAATTTAGAGGGGTGCTGTTTCAGTCTTTGTAAAATACTCACTGACAACAGCGGAGAGATATTTTTTAATACAAATAAAAAATATGAAGAAATACCCAGCCTCCAGGAGAAAACGCCACTGGAGGCTGAGCAGAATATCCCCTGTGCTTCTCTAGAAGTTGTCTTTCTGGGTGAAGTTAATTAACTTAAAATTACCATACTGCTTATAATTTCTATAAGGTGTGTATTCATGGGTTTAACTACTAGAAGATGATAGATGATGGCATTTAATTTAATCTGGCATAATATGATTAGTCAACATCAGGATGAATTTGTCTTTTTCTTATAATTACAGGAAGCGGGAATGAGCTGCAGGAATCTGTTAAAGTCCTAGCAAAAAGGAAATTAAAAGAAAAATCTACAGTGTCCAAAGCACAAACCATCTCCTGGAAGTAACAGGTGAATTTGGATTTGTCCTGGATAGGATTTTAAAATACAACACAGACTTCAAAGAGTTTATAGATGTTGATAGAAGTGAGAACATCAGTAACTTTGACAGATTCCAAGTGCACTTTTCTGAAGCACCGGATCTTCAGCCTGTCCTAAGAGAAGTCTGTCAAACTCAGGTACACTGTAAAAACTGGGATTGGGGTAAATTAATATTAAATAAATAATACCAAGTAAATTATACACAATATAAATGACTTTGTGTAGTTTGGAATCACATTAAGCTAAATTCAAACAATTTTGAATGATTTATTAATTGCATTTTACTTAGTTTTGCCTCAATAAAATCAGCTGTGGATTACTGAGTAGAAATTAATGGTATATTTTTAGTAGCGTCAAAAATGCAAAATATTGATACATTTTACTCATTGGGAGGTTGTCAGTTCCACTGCCTTTACACTTCCGCCCAGGCATTTTGCGGCACATGGTCATGTTCATCGTGCGTCTGCCACACTTCACTTCGAGACTGCCAGTTTACCAAAGGTAAGACCTGCTTTATTGTTGTTAATTAACACACATTTTTTAAATTACGTTGCTGTTGCAGTTGAACATCGTTTTGTGTTACTCTATGTTACCAAACATGCCAACTTTACTGGATGTGCATGGCTAAACTAACTTTTCAAATGTAGCTAACGTTAGCATTAGGGATTCAGTCAGTCTGTGTTGTCTTTGTCTCGACTAAAAGCATTGCAAGGAGAAAAAAGGTGTGTTGACTGTTATACCAAATTCACTGAGGCACTATTTGCGTGTGCATTGCTAAGTAGCATATAGGCTAAAGCTAAACCAACTTTTCAAATGTAGCTAACGTTAGCATTAGGGATTCAGTCACTAAAATGGCAGTTCCTCCTGCGCGGTTTAAGCGTGCCGTGTCGTGCTGGGCCCGTTTTTGGTTGCGTTAACACTATGCCTAGTTCCGGCCCGGGGGTACTTTTTCTCCTTTTTTCTGGCCCTACAAAATCTTGGTTCTATCGGGGCCAACAAGCGGGCCAGCAAACAGGCGGAATATGCTAAACTAGTGTGAGAATCGCTGGCAAGGGGGCTACAACTACAACAAAATGAACATATTTTACCGTGATTTAATTGTAATACACGTTTCAAAATTATGCCGAAGTAACAACATACTGATACCGGTTAGTAAAAAACCATGAATTAATGCTTTGACAAGTCTGCAGACAGACGGCAGGCCAAACACCTTTTTAAAATGCGTGTTTCTTAATGGAGAAACTAAGCTAACGCTGTGTGTGCTCCGACCGTCCACACTCACAACAACGGCCTATACAGACATTAATAAAGCAGCGACTGTATTCGCCATGACACAGGCAGTCTGTGGTTTGGACTAGTTTAACTTTTGTCTAGTTTCTGAACAGATATGAGGAGCTGTGGCTCTGAGTGCTAACAGCTAACGGCTGATATTGGTTTTCTGTGGTTCGCATTGATTTTTGTAGTATGGAAATGTAGTGGTATTAAAATGGTCATTTTAATATTAAGAAAGAAAAGATAACAATTATCCTTGAACAACTTATTTATTATATCACCAGTAATTACTTGCTAGGGAAACCTCATGCTCACTTGTTTAACTTTTAAACGAGAAAGATCACATGTTTGAAACACGCGGTGTAACAAATGTGCATGAGAAATGGGCGGCGGTGGTGGCGAAGTCCTTAGGGAGTTGGCCTGGCAACTGGAAGGTCACCAGTTCAAGTCCCGGCAAGACCAACTGCTACCGAGGTGTCCCTGAGCAAGGCACCGTTCCCTACACTGCTCCCCGGGCGCCGTTCAAAATGGCAGCACACTGCTCCTAAAATTAGGATGGGTCAAATGCAGAGAAACAATTTCCCCATGAGGGATTAATAAAAGTCCGTCTATTATTAAATGCATTTGTTGTAATACAAGTGTTTGTTTAGCAACTTCTAAGATTTTAATGTTTAATGTCCAATGGAATTAAAGGTAATATGAATTTCGTTTCAGGTGCATGAAGAATCGTGGAGTATTATCAAAGGTATGTTTCACACTTGCATGCCATGATACAACATTTCAAGTAAATGTTTTTGCACAGTTTGTTTTGCAATACAAAATGTGGTTATTACAGTATTTCTATCAACTTTTGTTTGTTAAAAAGCACATTTACTTGAGCTTTGATCATCATTGATTTTCAAAACCTGTTGTGCAAACCTTAATTTGAGTTTAGCAGCAAACATAGAACTACTTATACATTATTTTTCAAGATGGCAAATTATCGCACCAAACTCCGAGGCTACGGTGTTCAAGAGCCCTGCACAGCAAAAGTCTGCCATGGGTGTAAAAAAGCCTCGAAAAGCAGAGGTAAATGATCTTCCTCCTTACCCAGCAGGAGAAGATGAAGACAGTCAAGAACAGGAAAGGATTGAGTTGCTTTCTGAAGTGATGAAAAGGGACAACAAGACATTGATAAAAGAAAAAATGGCAAAAACATTTCCACACAGAAGAAATGAAATTGTCAACCACTCACCCAGTATGGAACTGATCAAAGCAGATGGCCCTCTCTACTTGAGACGTCTCGCGTGAGTTATAAGTGCATCCTAATATTATTATACCTGCTCCAGAATGATAATGTTTTTGTCACATCACATGGTTACACAGTTTATAAAGGAATCATAAATAATCCTTGGATGTGTATATGCAAAGTCCAACATTGAACAATGACATTTGCTAGCCAAAACATTATATGCACATGCTGTGAAGTCATATGATTAAACCCAGAATGGGAAAATCATAAAACATGGCAAGACAAGCAAAAAGATCATAGGTGCTTTCTGCTTTTAAAATCTTGTAAGAATAATAGGTTAAATTGTAATATTAAAATAAATGTTGGTTTCATTATCTGTCTTTCAGATCCAGGATGAGTTTCACAGAATCACGATGGTGCACCTGGAATCGAAGTTCATATCCAAACTGGATGAATATACTCCTGGCCTTCGGAAACTGTTCCACTCCAAGGGAGGAACCATGCGGCTGAAGTTGAAAGCTGTCCTTATCCAGGTACCCTTCAATGAATATTATTATCATGACAAAAGGAGGTAATGCAAGGCTGTAATTCTCACAAAAGAAGTGAAATAGTTTTCAGCTTTATTAAGATCAATACTTACTCAGGTTTATAATGTTAATTTTAAGTTAACATCTTCAGAAATGTGTGCATTCAATTAGATTTTTACTCGAGGTCAGGCTAAAAGTCTACTTGACACAATTATATTGAAGGGTGTTTCTCATTCTTAGTACTTCATATTTATATTCAAGCGGGCGTCAGAACATTTGAAATGCCTCTGAAAATAGGCTTGTCCAGGACAATATTTTCAATAGAATAGACCTCAATGTTAAAAAATATACTTAAACACTGAGGGTGTCAAAACAATTACACATTATAGAACAATTGAATTTCATCATATTGAACAGGTGCATGTATTTTCAGTAGCCACTGAGTGTACATTGTCTCTAATTACCAAAATTACAGCATTGTAACTATTTGTAATATATATATATGTTATTTACAGCATTGGTTGGTTAGGGTTGCTTTTAACACTGAATGATTATTGAAAAGATATGTCTGGTGTACTTAAACTTGTTAGATTGTATGCCAACAGCTTAACTGACATTTGTCATTTACTGATGGGTTTCTGTTTATTTATTTTTTAAATCAAACTCTTATAGTATAAGTAATGAGCAATAAAATAAGGTAATGTTTATTTTTAAAGTAACAGACTGAGACACTCGCAGATAAGGCAACATTTTCTGTAATAAAGCACTGGGTGATAGGACGTGTTTCATTCAAATTAAACCATGTTTATTTTTTATTTCAGACTCCAAGCAATCCCAACATCAACATCACAAGAGAGGTTGTCATTTGCTGTCTGATGATTTACCTTGGGGAACGTACTGATCAGCTCTTAAAAGAGTATGATGTAAGTGTATCTCCCTCATCTCTCTCTCTGTCTTCTCTCCTGGTATGTCTTGGCAAGGTCTAATCATAAAATAAAATGATAAATACAAGCAGGATTGATCCAGTTGCTGTAATTGACTGCCATCTTCAGAAATGGTCTTACAGTGAATTATCAAGATTGGTTGACCGGTGGCAAGCTTTTGCTAGAACATAAATAAGATATTCATCAATACACAGCGTTATTTATACATTAAAATACCTATGGATTTATTTAAATTTAAAAACATTTCACTCAATTCAGACTATAATTTATGTTGTAATTAAATTGTTGTAAGTTGTTGGTGAAATAATCACCTAATTCTTAACTTAGCTGGGATAAAAATATGCTATTGCAAAATGCCTTATGTTCTATTTTTCTAAAACACTGATGTAATTAGGGAGCATTCATTTCAAGTTTTCTTATCCAGTAAGTTGTAAGAAATTTGGTAAATTATTATATATGAATTGTTATCACCTTCTCCTTTGGCGGAATATTCTGACATATACAATGTTTTTGTAATTTCAGGATGCAGACAGCGCATCACAGGACCTTGCTGTTCAAGGGATGGCGATCTACAGCATCAAGACAAATGCTTCAGAGGGTTCCCATGACATCGGCATTGTTGTAGAGGGCATCCGAGTGCTGACTTCTCAGGGGACCATTCTAAGGGCTTGCTGCATGCTCATTGGGATTGCATATGCAGTCAATCTTGCCTATCCCAAGCAGCTAAACTACACGTTCGAAGCCTTCCACAAACTCTTTCTGGAACTGGACTGTTCAAAGCTGTTTGTTTATGTCTGTATAGGCCGTTGTTGTGAGTGTGGACGGTCGGAACATATATAACGATAGCTTAGCCAAGCTCCATTCAGAAAACAAGCATTCTAAAAGGTTTTTCGCCTGCCGTCTGTCTGCAGCAAGCGGCAAACTGTGGGGTAGAGCCGGGAAGCCAATACGAAAGTGCCACACACTGCAGTTCATATATTGGCCGATAGGCGATGGCTGCAGAAAGGAGCAATTTCCATAGACCCCCATGTTAAAATGCCCAACTTTACAGCAGAAAAAAACATGTTTCTACCCCTGGCTCCATACATTTTATTATCGATATAGTTAGATTCCACCTTCATGATTATGGATCTGTGAGTGAATTGTTTTCTAACGCGACCCTTTTATTTATATTAGGTCTTAAAGTTTGTGCATAAATTAGGGCGTGGTCACATTGAGTGACGGCTCTGTCAAGTGCCTGCCGCTGTTAGCTTCTTGTCTCTCTGCTAGCTGCTCCGTGAAGCTACAGGGACTCTGCCTGCTCAGCTCATCCAGGAAACACAACTTGTAGCCGGCCGTGGTTGTTTGTTCTTCATGCCTATATATCGGACTATTGTGACTCGCTCTGCGGTTAAAACAGACGGTGCACGAATGCGGTTTTGCGGTAAGTGAAATTCTAGTGCTTTATTTATGTGTTAATGATTTTAATCAGCTACGTAATGAATGGTAAGGCTTGGGTTAGCATGTAAGCTAGTGGTAGCTACATCGGTGCTAACGATTGTAATCGTAGCCTCCAAGTTAAAATCATAGACTGTATATATAAAGATTAAAACTAAATAGACAAGTGTTAAGCGTTAAGTGGGATAATACTGTTGAACAAACGGCTTCTGTTTGAGGTTGATAAAATAAGGTTACATCCTTGTAACTTAGAGATATTGTATTATATAGGTAGAACTGTATGCATCTAAGGTTAATTTAAATTGGCTATGCTCAAGTATGTAGACAAGCTAATGTCGAAGTAGTGTATGTGAAATCAACCTCACAATAAGATGTGTGTATATTACAATTATTAATGTCATATTTCAAGATGATTACTTAGATATTACAATATGGTTGGTTGAGCTGGAGTTCATTATTGAGCTTACACGTTAACGTCACAGTCATCTGAAGAACGAACCCAAACCTTGTTGTTTTTATTAATTGCATTACCAAATGGGTATCAAATAAACAGTAAGCATTGGTAACACAACTTCCAAAGTTACAGTAAAATAAAAAGGCCCCTGACTCGGACAATACACAATCCAACATGTTCAACAGAAGAGAATCAGTTTGTTTAAGGGGTCCAGGTGATGCAGACAGGCTGGACCAGAGAGTGAGAGGCAGAACTGGACTCCTCACAGCAGTGAACTTCAGCACAGGTACAAAGACTCTTTGTTCATACTGTACAAAGAATCAAGAAAGATATTGGTTTAAATGAATGAAGTATTGACTTGAATACACTGATATACATTCCATTAAACAATACTAAATACTAGATCACCTTCTGTACACATCAGTTAAGTTGAGGGTTTTTTCCATGCAAAAAGTTACATTTAGATGATAACAAGCAATATGACTTTGTCAGCTTTCTAATTTAATGTATTGAAGGCAAAGATATTTAACACATAGTGAGAACTGCTACTATTTATCTCTCAATATTGTCTGTAAAAAACGTGGTAAAAGTTATTATTTCAGTGAGACAACAGAGCAAGCTTCTACAGTTACACTACGTTTTGATAACAGTTCAATATTATTTTGATAATAACATATATTTCAATGTTGATGAACATACTGTGCATACTGTTCATTCATAATCTGATTGTCTTTGTAGCTCATTGTTGAAATAAAAAAAAAAACATTGCAATTACAAAATAATTATATCTACAGCCCCTAAACACACAAACACACCGCTTTCATAAATAACACACTTGTTCTGCAATAATATGTTTTATGTTTCCTGTCATTTTTGTTAGGAAAGGACATGCCTGAAAGACAGGACATTTTCTCCTTCTCTGATGGTCAAGAAGAACATCCAAGAGGAACATTAAAAGCTGATGTTATGAGATTTTAAGACCAGTACAGGACATTCACTAAGGAACTACTTTTATTGTAAAAACAGTCAGCTGATCGAATGCAGCTATTTCCACATCTACACTCCATCAGCTGATTATTTCTATTTGCCTCACTTTATGAGCTTCACAACATGTACCTTGTTTTGCAACGTCACAAATAAATGGGGCCAATCTTCAGTCAGATGTGAATGTGTAATCTAACATTTTCAGTAAGAATAATGGACAAAAGGAGTGCAAATACAAATACAATTTATTGAAATGTGAACCAAAAGCACATATGGACAGAAGGTGTAAACCTATTAAATGTATAAGTAAACACATTTAATCAAATAAAGTGACAGACTAGGCCTGTGCAGTTGGTATCAGCTTTGCCCAGCATGGGCTCCTTCATCAGCCCTGGTCCTCCTCGCAGAGGAAAGACCCTCAGTCCTCTCCAAACCAACAGACAGGACCATCACACGGAGGTTTCTCCCTGAAGTCTCTGCAGCTCTCTGGACACCATGCTGTCTCAATCCGTCCACACTGAATATGAGAGGGGGAAAATTAAAATAATAAATGCTTTAGACAATAAGAAATATAAAGTTGACTGTTGAGTTGCTCAGTTTTTTTAGATTGTCAATACTATTACTGTATAACTAATATCTCAGGTTAAGAGGCACATTCAAATAAAGATTGGTCTTTAAATACATTTTGTCTTTTGAATTGTTTGTCTAAAGTCAAGGATCTATAACTGGTACTTAGTTTTAATGATACAGTCTGGTTATTATGCTGTTTGGAGGAGGCCTCACAGGTAAGAGCGCTAACTAGCTACCATCACATGTACCTTAGCTTGACTTAAATGTATTAAACGTATAGTTAAGTGATATAAAAATATAATTAACTAATGTCATGCAAACATATTAATATTTGCTTGATTCCAGTGTTGAATTTAGCACAATTGCATACAAACGTTAAGGGGTTTTAAGATTCTGAAGTATTATGCTAAAAGCTCAATAACTTAGATTATTATTTATAGTTTTGCTGAATAGTTTCATGTCCGCTTACCTTAGAAACGTAAAATGCGACGGCAGTGTGCAGATGGGGAGCATGTTAGCTTAGCTTGGTAGCTTCGGCTAGCTCTGGAATTTCCAGCTCGGTGGCAGCAGGTCCCGCCTCGGCTCCGCCTCTTTGCCCTTATTTGGAGCAGGCTGGAGAAGGCGGGAGTTGAACTCTGGCGTCACTGTCGAGCCGTTAGTGGCCGACTCCGCCTACTAAGGGCTTCACGGCAACTCTGCAGAATCCTATGGGTGACGTCACGGACCCTACGTCCATTTATATATACAGTCTATGGTCTGCAGACTTGTCAAAGCATTAATTCATGGTTTTTACTAACCGGTATCAGTATGTTGTTACGTCGGCATCATTTAGAAACGTGTATTACAATTTAATCACGGTAAAATATGTTCATTTTGTTGTAGTTGTAGCTCCCGAGCCAGCGCGTCTTGTTTGAATGATGCGAGTAAATACAGCTGGCAGCCGCGGTGAAACTCGAGCGACTAGAGCGATGAGATAGGAGCGTTTAGAGCGAAGCGAATATTCGCATCGCGTCCGGTGTGAACGCAGCATTAAAGCGAGCTACGCGCTGCACTGGAAACGCGCCATTACATTACCAGAAGTCCTCATTTAAGGGGTAATTTCTCCCAAAAAAAATGTGTTTACTCACTGTATCAAAAGCCCCACCAAAAATATGTTCCACCAGCCGCCACTGCCTGCCTCTCTGTTGGACTCTGTCGCATCGGGGCTACTGCTGTGGTGCGGACCGCATTAACCAGACTCTTCACAACGAAGGATCACTTCTTGTTCAAGGCAGGGAAGGTTTCGCAGTACGCAGTCTACTGACCCGCAGCTGCTGCCTCTCTGTTGGACTCCGGTACTGCACCTTACTCACGAGACGTTGTAAAAAAATAAAATGGGTGGGAGGCGAATGCAGTAACCACTCCGCCAACGCCACAGTCACCCCCATCGTGCGGGCCGGATGAGAATGTCTGGCGGGCCGGACGTGGCCCGCGGGCCGCCAGTTGGTGATCACTGATGTAGTGTCTCTACTTTAAAGAGTCCTCTCCTGCTGATGTTCAGGTGTATATCAGTATGTAGTGTCTCTACTTTAAAGATTCCTCTCCTGCTGATGTTCAGGTGTATATCAGTATGTAGTGTCTCTACTTTAAAGAGTCCTCTCCTGCTGATGTTCAGGTGTATATCAGTATGTAGTGTCTCTACTTTAAAGAGTCCTCTCCTGCTGACAACCGCTTAGAGATGTCCCACCCCTTGGCCTATCACGTACAATGTGTCAGATCACTAGCATATAGAAGTGTGAGTGTTACGTAGTGCTGTCACTATGTTCTGGAAGTAAACAAAGGAGTCCAATGGAGGCATTTGTTCTTTAATTGTTTTCTCACTTAATTGATGCAGTTTTTTTCTGTTTGAGGTCATTCTGTACATTAGAATCATCTCATAGTGAAACACAATACAGTTAAGAAACATATATACATATATGCATATACAGTGGAATAGAAATATACTACTTTCACTCTCATAAAACTATAATACACATATAATGAAAAACACATCAATAAAAAAACATTTTTCACAGCTATGGTTTGCATCCACACAGCACTTAGATTTTGCTGTGAAGGATTTTAATATCTGTAATGAATTCGATTTCCTTAGATTGTCATTAAAGTGGACCTATGATGCTATGTTTAGGAAATAGCATAGGTCTCAGATATATAAAAATATATAAAAAACATGTCTATGAAGTGTTTTCCTCAAAATAACAGATCACCCATTCTAGCCATGCCTCATATACCTCTATTTCACTTCCTGTTTCAAAAGTGCTGATTCCGGGGTAAAAAGCTTTAAAAAATGAAAAAGGAGGGGGCTGAGCTCATGCGGGACCCGGCAGCTACTGTCTAAACTAAATACTGCCGTGATGAAACGCCATATCATGGATTATCAAGGATTCTCTCTGAAACAGTTTGGAGCTCAAAGGCTTTCTCTCTTGCCGGTTATACCACAAGGGGAGTTCCTTTTTACTTCCTGCTTCTTCACACACATGCTCTCCAGTACAGGTTAGCTCTGAGTGTTAGCGATGCTAATGTAAACACCGACCATATTACGTCCAAAACTGTCGGGCATTGTTTCTGACAGCAACGTTTCTGATTGGGCCGTGGGTCCACATTTCAGATATTACGTCATATCGGACGCAAATCTGGATCAGCTCCGTTGCTCCCCGTTTTTAGAGATTTGGGTACGGAGGAAAAGAGAGGGTTTTATTTTGTGATGCTGCGTGAGTTCCCTGACACACCGGGGACACAGTTATGTATAAAAGACATCAGAAAGTGCATTTTGCATGATAGGTCCCCTTTAATTCAGATTGTCCAATTCAGAGCATTAATGTCATCTTCAGGTGAAGTTAGGAATAAAAGCTTATGAAGTGTTGTTTGCTCAAAAGAGGCTGACCTTAAGGTTGTAAATTTGAGAGGTACCTAAAAATATTCAGGCTTAATTTACAGGGGTTGCTCGGGTTGTGAGTCCCAGTTGAACACTTCTGACGAGGCGTAGAGTTATGTCTGATGGCAGCCCTTTTCTCACCAGCTCATCTTTAATCTGTAGAAGAAAAGTGAAATAAGTGCGAGATGTAGAAAGATATATGATTATGACAATTATGATGAATTATACCATCAGTGTTCTGTGTAAAGTGAGAATACTACTGATGCTGTTATATTGTATAGTCCTTCTGAGTCATCTAAAATTGTTGGATGCTTAAGATACTTGAACCTGACTTTCAAAATAAGTTTGAATCTTTTATTTTTATGTATGCATTCATTTAAAAATGTAACACATATAGCTAAACCTGAAAAATGTCCTGTAATGAAAGCCCATTTGTCCTTTACTCTGGGACAAATGGACAGGTTCTCAAAGTTTGTGGTTTGAAAATAAACACTCTCCCTGCAACTAACAGTAACACATCACAAACAATCATGCAAGAACTTGCTAAACATATTTAAAATCTGAAAGGTCTAATGTATTTTCAAACAATGTGCCTTTGGGGTGTTTGTTTTCAATGGGGTTGAAAAGGGCTTCCCGGTTCAACTGATTTCTTGGGGGGATTTTGGAAAAATAGGCAGAATAAACATTAGGAAACTTTAAATTGATGCTTTGACATGAGCTAATCTCTGAGTAGACAATAAGAGGCTGACCTGTTGTATGATGGTACTCCTGATGAAGTCCTCAGACAGTGGAGACGCAGAGGAAATCTTGATTCTCATAGCTACAACACCTAGAAGAACAGTGACTTGACATTACAATGCAGGCCAGAAGAGTGCTGAAACACTAATATGCATAGAGAACCTCAACTGCTATTGTTATTGTTTAACTATGTGCATTAAGAGATACAGAGGTGGACCAAATTCCAATCACTTGTATATAGACTCTTATTGCACTATTTCACTTTTTTTATATTTTCCTTTTTGTATTTACTTGCACTATTTTTTTCTGATTGTCTATTTTATTGTGTTGCACTGTTGGAGGAGCCTGTGACCTAAAATGTTCATTGTCATAACTACACTGTAGCTATGTACGTATGACCAATAAAAGCCTTGAACCTTGAACTATTTGCATTAAGAGATACAGAGGTGGACCAAATTGTATTTGTGCTGCAATTTGGTTTCCCATTTACCATCCTGCAGTTTTCTATGGAAAACTCCTCTTCGTGAAAACATAGTTTAAAACGTCACCATTTGTCGTACTCACCTTGTTTTGAGACTCCAGTTACAGGTGTTGGGGATTCAGTTGTGTCTTCAGATGTAGAAATCCCTGATGGACTTGATGTTATAGTAGTAGGGAGAACAGTCGGAGTTGGTGAAGGGACGATGGTTGTAGTTTGAGGTGTTGTTGTTGTAGGTACGACTGTTCTTAGTTGGATTGTTGTTAGTGTAGGCGTCGTTGGTAGGGAAGTTGGTGAATAAATTGTGGATGTTTGTGTGGTTGGTGTAGGGATAGTTGTTGTGCTGAGTCGGGTAGTTGTTATTGATTGAGTAGTGGTTGTAACTGGTGTAGTTGTACTGCTGGTCGAAGTCAGTGGGGTAGTTGTTGAGGGAACTGTAGTTGTAGTTAAGGCTGTTGTTGTAGGGATGGTAGTTGAAAGTCTGTTATTTGTTGAGGGAATTGTAGTTGTTCTGGTTGCTGTAGTTGGTGTAGGGATTGTTGTTATGGAATGAGTAGTGGTTGTTGTAACTGGTGAAGTTGTTGTGCTAGTTGTAGTTAGTGGAGTAGTTATTGGAGGAATTGTAGTCATCATTTCTGTGGTTGTTGTAGGAATAGTTCTTGTGGTCAGTGGTGCAAATATTGTGGATTGAGTAGTTGTTGTTGTTGTTGCTGGTGTGATTATTGTAGTCATGGTTGTTGTTTGTGCAGTTGATGTATTTGGTGTACTTATGGTTGCTGTGGTCTGTGGAGTAGTTGTTGAGGGAGTTGTAGTGTGAGCGATTGTGGTAGTCGTTGTAGGGATGCTTGTTGTTGTGGTTAGTGGAGTAGTTGTTGTGGTTTGTGTGGTTGTTGGAGTAACTGTTGAGGGAACTAAGGTTGTAGTTTCACCGGTTGTTGTTGTTAGTGGAGTAGTTGTTGTGAAATTAGTACTGTTTCTAACTGGTGTAGATGTTATTCTGGTTGTAATTAGCTGAGTAGTTGTGAATGGAACTGTGGTTGTAGTTTGTGTGGTTGTTGTATTTGGTGTAAGGGTGGTTGTTATAATTAGTGTGGTAGTTGTTGATGTTGGGATGGTTGTTGTGGTTAGTGGTGTAGTTGTTGAGGGAATTGTGGTTGTATTTTGTGTTGTTGTTGTATTTGATGTAGGGGTTGTTGTTGTAATTAATGTGGTAGTTGTTGGGGCGGTCGTTGTGGTTACTGGTGTGGTTGTTGATGGAATTGTGGTTGTATTTTGTGTTGTTGGTTGGTGGGTCGTGGGGTACGGTGGTGGTATGTTGGGGGTAATGAATGAGTTAATTGTTGATGTTGGGGTGGTTGTTGTGGTTAGTGATGTAGTTGTTGAGGGAATTGTGGTTGTATGTTGTGTTGTTGTTGTAGTTGATGTAGTTACTGGTATAGATGATGATGGAATTGTGGTTGTAGTTTGTGTTGTTGTTGTATTTGGTGTAGGGTAGTTGTTGTAATCAATGTGTTAATTGTTGATGTTGGGGTGGTTTTTGTGGTTAGTGGTGCAGTGGTTGAATGTTGTGTGTTGTTGGTATAGTGATAGTGCTTGTAGCTACTGGTGTTGTGTTGATGGAACGGCTGTGGTTATTGTTGGCTCTGTAAGGCGGAATGGAGAATACAAGAAAGATTACCAAGGAAAATAGAAATGGAAGTTAAAAGTAGAAGCTAAGACAGTTTGACTCACCATTTTCCTAACACTCACAATGACACATCGGAGCTCAGACTGATATTTGGTGGTTGAACTGTGGAAACATATCAATACGTTAAGTCATTTACAAAATGGTGACACAAATCTTTAGCACCAAGTAATATATTCAATTAAATACATAGACCTGCCGCCTGTAGTCCATTTCCCATTATCTTTTAGGAACTTAAAAACTAAATGAATCCCCAAACTCCTTTCTTATCTTTTATATTTATACTGACAGTTAAAATATTTCCTTATACATTTCTATAGGCTAATGTTCAGCTGATCAAGTGACTGACTTCGTGATTGATTGGATGACAAAACAGATGGGATGGCTTTCTCCGTCTTCTTCTTGAGACGGCGTCCATCTCAGGAGGAACCGTCCTGCTCCTAATGAACTCTTGTTCATGTTGTGCGGCCCGCTGAACAGCAGCTCAAGCGTCCTTTAAAAAACAGCAGAAGAGTTCAATGTTATCAATTCTAATTCTAGAGCATTATTGTAGCAACAAAAACTTTTTTTATATAAATATATAGTGAAGTAACGACCGAAGTTGCTCTCCATGTGTGTTTGGTAATCCAAGTTCCTTTTTTTTTTAATGCAGTTTTTCATGCCTTCATTGCAGTTGTTCTACGGTAAGCTGATTTTACATTAAGTGGTCGAACCAGTATATGCCTTTAAAAGTCTGAGCTTGTAAAACTACTGAGACAACATGGTGCTTATGCACAATTTACTCTAGGGCCCTGAATGCATTACCCACTGTGTGTAAAAATAGTTGGTTCAGTTAAACTTTCACTCTTGTCAAACCTGTCTTGGGCGTCTAAATTACATAATACAACATATCAGATTCTTTGTGCACCTGAAAATCTTTAGAGAATGATTACAATTTGTCCCCGCCCTATTGACTGTGGCTAAAAGTATTTTTCATCTAACCAGAGAATGTCCTATGTCATTAACCTTTGGTATTTTGTTATGTAAGTTCTTTACATTTAGTTGTATGTTAGACTTACGTGGAGACATTAGCCTCTGCATTGACGCTGATAGAAAGGGTCTGATTGACAGGGGTGTACAGTTGAGCTTTGTTGGCTGGAGTTGGAGTCAGGAACCTGGGCAGATAGAGTCCCTCTGTGCAGGAGGGCACTGCGGGGTCCACTGGAAAAATAAATAAATGTTTTTAAGGACGGCAATACCTTTAGGGTCGTCAAGGCATCAGTTGTTCCGACACTTTAAAATATCTTGCATGCTGTTTGATTGCCATAACCTTTTGTCAAATCTAGACCCATTTTAACTCTTTGAGAACTGATTCCTTTTTTTGTTAAAAGCATAAATTGGAAGAATAAAACAAATTCAAATCGTATCCATCGCTAGCTAGCTGAGGAATCATCCAATCGATCATGTTCGTTATGACTTTGACAATTTACTCTCAAATAACTGATGATCAACAAGCTCCATGATGAATAACTTCAGGCAAAATAATAACAAATCTTACCTCTTACAGCAAACTGGATAGGTATTTTGCTGATAGCACTGGTGACTGTCAGCCCTCCGTTTTGAGTCAGAGAGATGGTCTGCCTGGGAAAGTCCTCCATCACCATCTGGACAATGTACGGACCTTCGTTTACGCTGCTGGTGGGGCTGAAGGACAGAATACAGGACTGAAAGAGGACGAAAGGGGACAAGAGGTAAACAAAAGTAACGAAATGCCATTTTTTTTACAACGTCATCTTCAAGCATCAGTGACTGGAGCTACTCACTTCTGAGAGGCTGAGAACAGACGGCGTAGTGCACTGGGTACACTCTGAGAGGGAGGAGCTTACGTATCTGCATCTGACCTCATCTCCATCCGGATCAAAGTCCAGCAGGTGGAAATCTCTCCGACAGTTTGAAGGAACTCTGACGGAGAAAAACAATATGTGAAGCACGAGCCATGCAGCCAACCGATCTGCTGTTGCTCAATGTTGTCTAGACAGAGTTAACTATTAAATGTCAAAAGACAATGAGGTGATTGTCATTTGGTAGGAAATGGATATTGCATGCAATCTGACCCGCTTGTTGCTCACTGTTAGCTCCAGGAAACCTTTTTTTTTTAAATTTAAGCGTGAATCTGAAGTTAAAACCGAGATAAACCAATAAAATAAACCAAATTTACAATGAGACGTTTTTTCTTCTTTTAAAAGGATGTGTTGTGGCATGAAATGGTAGAACTGCTGACAAATAGATGGACAAAGAAACCGTGAGGGGGGGTCACCTCAAGGCTGGCAGGATTGTAGTCTGGGGCGATGTGTTGGCTTGTCTGATGTCCGACCTGTTCCTCAGATCCACTCCAGTCACAGCTCTCCATCTTGAGATGCCATTGTTATTATTTATCCAGGCATTGCCAGACAACCTTCATGAGAAAGACAAGTTTTTACGTGCTGCACAGAACCTGGCACATGTGTACCCATGTCTTGCATAAGCGTTCCTGTAACTTGGAAACTATTCTAATATTAAATATGTTTCAAAGCGATTTACAATAACTTACAAAAACCTAAATATGGTGGTGGTTTCTTTCCTTGATGTCTTACTGTTTTACCACCTTTACAACATGCTTTGGCAACGCTAAGTTTTAATATTGTCAAGCCAATAAAGCAATTTGAATTTGTATAAACCACCACCAATTAAATTGATTTATTAATCAACCTTAATTTTCAGTTATTGCAATTACCATACTTTTCTTTAAATTTCTTCAAACATTTTAATTGTGATTGTTTTACCCTTTTAAAAGGTTATGTTTATTATTATGGAACTCACTCTAATTGGAACTGAGAGTTGATGGGAACCTGCCGAGTCATGATTCCTCTCTTTGACACCACTCTCCACTGCTCTCCTGGTCCACTACGTTTAGCACCAGAGAAGTCCGAGTCCCGCAATTTTGAGAAGGGCAGCGCCAGAAGTCTCTCGAAGAACAAAGGTGGAAGCTCAGCTTATAGCGAAGGACAACCTGTAGTTTTTACAGTGGCCGAGTGTTATTCCAGGGAAAGAAGACATAAAAGGTTTGGAAAATATGACTACAAATCTTGTTTTTTTAGATAACATGAATGTCATCACATGGTCCAGGTTCCATACAGAGACAACAAGCACCTCATTCAAAGGTAATACAACAAATATCCTTGTGTATCCCTTTAATTTTCTAACATTTTCCAAAATGTCTGTTTTCACTTTTTCAGCTATATTCACAAACTGTTAGTTGTGTGAAGTTATTCTTGTTATGTATTGTCACATTTCAACTGATAACTATTGAATTAAAAGAAAACTTTACGTACCGTGAGAGATCCATCTGCATTAGTGTTTTTTGGGTAATAAGTCATTACTGTCCCGTAAAAATGAGACGACTGGGCGCCGCAGACCAGCAGTAGCAGCAGCAGAGAGACACACATAGTAAAGGTATTACTCTCTCCACACAATGAGAGTAAATGACTACCAAGACTAAAGCATTTACTTCAAAAGACAGCCCTTCTTCGTCCCTCCCTTCCCCTTTGTGCTTTTTGGATGTATTCCACTCGGAAGGTCTTTTGAGTGAGTAGTAGAACAATAAACCAGGAAACTGCCGGGTATGAGGAAATGTTTGGTGATAGGGTTTATTCCAAAGAAGAGAAGAGATGAATCTGTCCAGGGACTACAGATGAAAAATAGCCTCTTGGCTAACTCTGGCACATTTACAGAAATGTTCATTAATATGCACTGTCCCTGTTAAATAAATGAATGAATACAAAATAAAATACATTTACAGATGGGTGAGTCCAGGTAGAAAGCAATTGTATGAAACAATTAGACTAAGATTGACTTAAAGGGTTTTTATGGTAAAGAAAAAACTAAAAATTCAGACAACACTCAGGGTCCATTAAACCGTCACAGAGTGTGAGGTAAGTAAGACGAATTCAGGGACTACTCTTTAAATTGCGCTCCTAATAAATAAAGGGAATTGGATCCAGAAAAAAAAAAAAAACACTTGGATGCAATTTAATAGAATTTGGATGCACCCTTTGCATTAGTATTGGAATGCGGCCCGACCATAACAATGTCGCATTTGGCTCCAAGCTACTCTGTGCCATGCTCCTAGTTTATTGGAAAACAATAGACTGTATATATAAATGGACGTAAGGTCCGTGACGTCACCCATAGGATTCTGCAGAGTTGCCGTGAAGCCCTTAGTAGGCGGAGTCGGCCACTAACGGCTCAACAGTGACGTCAGAGTTCAACTCCCGCCTTCTCCAAATAAGGGCAAAGAGGCGGAGCCGAGGTGGGACCTGCTGCCACCGAGCTGAAAGTTCCAGAGCTAGCTGAAGCTACCAAGCTAAGCTAACATGCTCCCCATCTGCACGCTGCCGTCGCATTTTACGTTTCTAAGGTAAGCGGACATGAAACTATAAATAATAATCTAAGTTATTGAGTTTTTAGCATAATACTTCAGAATCTTAAAACCCCTTAACGTTTGTATGCAATTGTGCTAAATTCAACACTGGAATCAAGCAAATATTAATATGTTTGCATGACATTAGTTATTTATATTTTGATATCACTTAACTATACGTTTAATACATTTAAGTCAAGCTAAGGTACATGTGATGGTAGCTAGTTAGTGTTCTTACCTGTGAGGCCTCCTCCAAACAGCATAATAACCAGACTATATCATTAAAACTAAGTACCAGTTCTAGATCCTTGACTTTAGACAAACAATTCAAAAGATAAAATATATTTAAAGACCAATCTTTATTTGAATGTGCCTCTTAACCTGAGATATTAGTTATACAGTAATAGTATTGACAATCTAAAAAAACTGAGCAACTCAACAGTCAACTTTATGTTTCTTATTGTCTAAAGCATTTATTATTTTCATTTTCCCCCTCTCATATTCAGTGTGGACGGATTGAGACAGCGTGGTGTCCAGATAGCAGGAGAGACTTCAGGGAGAAACCTCCGTGTGATGGACGTCCTGTCTGTTGGTTTGGAGAGGACTGAGGGTCTTTCCTCTGCGAGGAGGACCAGGGCTGATGAAGGAGCCCATGCTGGGCAAAGCTGATACCAACTGCACAGGCCTAGTCTGTCACTTTATTTGATTAAATGTGTTTACTTATACATTTAATAGGTTTACACCTTCTGTCCATATGTGCTTTTGGTTCACATTTCAATAAATTGTATTTGTATTTGCACTCCTTTTGTCCATTATTCTTACTGAAAATGTTAGATTACACATTCACATCTGACTGAAGATTGGCCCCATTTATTTGTGACGTTGCAAAACAAGGTACATGTTGTGAAGCTCATAAAATAAATAGCTGCATTCGATCAGCTGACTGTTAACAATAAAAGTAGTTTCTTAGTGAATGTCCTGTACTGGTCTTAAAATCTCATAACATCAGCTTTTAATGTTCCTCTTGGATGTTCTTCTTGACCCTCAGAGAAGGAGAAAATGTCCTGTCTTTCAGGCATGTCCTTTCCTAACAAAAATGACAGGAAACATAAAACATATTATTGCAGAACAAGTGTATTATTTATGAAAGCGGTGTGTTTGTGTGTTTAGGGGCTGTAGATATAATTATTGTGTAATTGTAATGTTTTTTTTTTATTTCAATAATGAAATACAAAGACAATCAGATTATGAATGAACAGTATGAAGTTCATCAACATTGAAATATATGTTATTATCAAAATAATATTTAACTTATCAAAAGGTAGTGCAACTGTAGAAGCTTGCTCTGTTGTCTCACTGAAAGAATCACTTTTACCACGTTTTTTACAGACAATATTGAGAGATAAATAGTAGCAGTTCTCACTATGTGTTAAATATCTTTGCCTTCAATATATTACATTAGAAAGCTGACAAAGTCATATTGCTAAATATCTTAATGTAACTTTTTGCATGGAAAAAACCCTCAACTTAACTGATGTGTAGGTGATCTAGTATTTAGTATTGTTTAATGGAATGTATATCAATGTATTCAAGTCAATACTTCATTCATTTAAACCAATATCTTTCTTGATTCTTTGTACAGTATGAAAAAAGAGTCTTCGTACCTGTGCTGCAGTTCACTGCTGTGAGGAGTCCAGTTCTGTCTCTCACTCTCTGGTCCAGCCTGTCTGCATCACCTGGACACTTTAAACAAACAGATATATATATATATATATATATATATATGTAAAGTACCATGTGTACAAACAATATAACTGATTATCTTCTGTTGAACATGTTGGATTGTGTATTGTCCGAGTCAGGGTCCTTTTTATTTTACTGTAACTTTGGAAATTGTGTTACCAATGCTTACTGTTTATTTGATACCCATTTGGTAATGCAATTAATAAAAACAACAAGGTTTGGGTTCGTTCTTCAGATGACTGTGACGTTAACGTGTAAGCTCAATAATGAACTCCAGCTCAACCAACCATATTGTAATATCTAAGTAATCATCTTGAAATATGACATTAATAATTGTAATATACACACATCTTATTGTGAGGTTGATTTTACATACACTACTTCGACATTAGCTTGTCTACATACTTGAGCATAGCCAATTTAAATTAACCTTAGATGCATACAGTTCTACCTATATAATACAATATCTCTAAGTTACAAGGATGTAACCTTATTTTATCAACCTCAAACAGAAGCCGTTTGTTCAACAGTATTATCCCACTTAACACTTGTCTATTTAGTTTTAACCTTTATATATACAGTCTATGATTTTAACTTGGAGGCTACGATTACAATCGTTAGCACCGATGTAGCTACCACTAGCTTACATGCTAACCCAAGCCTTACCATTCATTACGTAGCCGATTAAAATCATTAACACATAAATAAAGCACTCGAATTTCACTTACCGCATTCATGCACCGTCTGTTTTAACCGCAGAGCGAATCACAATAGTCCGATATATAAGCATGAAGAACAAACAACCACGGCCGGCTACAAGTGGTGTTTCCTGGATGAACTGAGCAGGCAGAGTCCCTGTAGCTTCACGGAGCAGGTAGCAGAGAGACAAGAAGCTAACAGTGGCAGGCACTTGACAGAGCCGTCACTCAATGTGACCACGCCCTAATCTATGCACAAACTTTAAGACCTAATATAAATAAAAGGGTCACGTTAGAAAACAATTCACTCACAGATCCATAATTATGAAGGTGGAATCTAACTATATCGATAATAAAATGTATGGAGCCAGGGGTAGAAACATGTTTTTTTCTGCTGTAAAGTTGGGCATTTTAACATGGGGGTCTATGGAAATTGCTCCTTTCTGCAGCCATCGCCTATCGGCCAATATATGAACTGCAGTGTGTGGCACTTCCGTATTGGCTTCCCGGCTCTACCCCATAGTTTGCCGCTTGGTGGAAACGTGGAAAAAGGCAAAACATGACACTTGCAAAGATGTTTTTTATGAAAAGAAAAATATGCAGTTTTATGTTCAGCTCTCAAACAGAAACATGTATCAAAAGAAACAGAACAAGATGCTGCTCTTTCTAAAAACAAAAACAAGATTCCTCTTTCCTCTCATTCCAGTCACTTACAAAGCAATAGAGCCCGCCTTCCCAATTCAAATTGGCCAATCAGGTCACTTGATTAGTTGCGATTGGTCACAAACTTAACAAACAAATTACATTATTTACTTTCAAATAATACATTTTAACCAAGCGGCAAACTCTGGGGAACAGCCGGGACGCCAATACGGAAGTGCCACTGCCACACACTGCAGTTCATACATGGGCCGCTAGGGACTGGTTGCAGAAAGGAGCCATTTCCATAGACCCCCATGTTAAAATGCCCAACTTTACAGCAGAAAAAAACATGTTTCTACCCATGGATGCAATAAATATTATTATCGATATAGTTAGATTCCACCTTCATGATTATGAATCTGTGAGTGAATTGTTTTCTAACACGACCCTTTTATTTATATTAGGTCTTAAAGTTTTTGCATAAATTAGGGCGTGGACACTTTGATGGACACGTACATGCCTCACTGTCAGCTAACAGCAACTTGTCCACTCTGCTAGGCTACAACCATAGAGGCTACACCGTTAATTAGTCATAGTACTGTACTTGACCCTTTAGCTTTAGCCGTGTCCGTGGTGATTGTGCCTTTTAGGGAATATTGTTACAAATACCAGACAATTACAATGTCGTGCTGTGCGCTTGAATGTACTAACAGAGAAGAAGTCTAAAATGATAATATTATACATGTTAACCCCGTTCGCAGGTGTTTGTGTGCTTGGTAGCTTAGCTTGCTACTTATTAGCCAGCTAAGGACGTAACCCTTTATACATACATATACATTTTAGTTTATGATTCAGCCTTGGGTAAGACTTTTATAGTCTATGGCTATGACGCCCATAATGCTAAACGGGAGCAAATGTTAATAGGGGACCCAATTATCCCAGTGGTGGCCGCCGGAGCTAACGGAGCCGCAGGGGGCTAGCTCCAGCTGGCGTCCCGGAGCTAGCCCACTGCGGCTCCGTTAGGTCCGGGCGGTGGAGTCCGTTGTTATAACTGGAGATCAAGGAATGCAGCGAAATGCAGACTTGGTTCGCCTGCTGTAGTATTAGCTAAATAAATTATGTTGAACAAGGCTTATTAAGCTGAACATCGCCACAATTGTT